GTGCCGCTAAAATAAGTAGTCGAGTGTTCGTGGATTTTCGCCATCAACGAAATGCGCCACCACGGTCGGAAATTGAACCCACATCCACCCACTCATCAAACACCTTAACTGTTAATCGCTAATACAGCGTGTCGCTACAACCTATGAAAACAAATACAATGAAGTCGGGGCAAGCATAGGTGGGTTTTTTTTTTCGTTGTGTTTTATCCGCGGTGTAACGGTTATAACCTAAATCGAAAAGAATTGGTGTTCATGAAAAAGCACTCTTTCCGTATAGGTGGGATTCTAAGCCACAACAATTGAACTACGTGCCCGATGCTCTACCGTTTGAGGTACGACGGACGTCGTGAATCGATAAACTGCAGATAAAAACAACAAGCAATGTGAAAGCCTTCCTCAGCTCAATAGTCCGTTGGTTTCATTAGTTGTGTCTAACAATTAAACAAGCCATTGATCTACTCCTTCCATATGCGTTGGTTGCCCCGTCTCTTAGGCGAGTCTTCTCTTACTATAACGAACAATGACACAATATATTCAACTCTCTCGCAGGGATGATCGCCAGCATGGACGTGTTCATGCCCAGCAACGGAATCTACCGCAACGTCAGCCACACTAACATGGGTGTTCTTGGGACCATGATGACGCTCGTAGTTAAGAACGTCGCCGATCGCTACTGGAATTCCGGCGAGCGCGTCGAAGACGCCCGCACCACCGACCACAACGAGTTTTCCCTGCTGCTCATCCGAAACAGGTCACTGGCATTCCACGAGGAACTGCGCGGACAGATGGGCGAGCAACTTTCACCCGGGCTTGGCAACGGCTCGATTGATGTGCCGACCGTCGAGGTTCCCGGAGTGGGACTGGCGGTTAGTCAGGGCTTCGGCAGCCGCAATGCTTCGATTAAAGTGGTGCGTAAGTTGCGGCGGAAGCGCAAATGATAGAGACCAACTCGCGTAGATAGTTGTCGACTGGCGGAGTACGCTGTGATACTGCGCATCATAATACCAAGACGGATAAAGATAACGGGAAAAAGCTATGTTTGTTTTCATCCGATCATTCAACCATCCATCCGTCCATCTGGTCGATCCACCCACCCGCCTGCCCGCCTGCCTGCCTGCCTGCCTGCCTGCTGTCTCTCTTGCTTCCTTTGTTTTGTTTGTCATTTGTTTTCGTGCTTGTTTCTCTGTGTTGCTTACTAACACCAAATTTACTAATAGACTTGTAGAAATCGCACTATCCCGCGATTGGCCCACAATTCAATCGGAAAGAAAGTTTTATTGTGGAACCGACATATATTTTATAACGATATTTATTTCTTTTTTGTGAAGGTGTTGGACATTAAAGCAACAAAACAGATACGCGAAGCCTATGTTATTCATAATCATTTACGGTAATCTTTCTTTTTTGTAATAGCCAGTAGTGGTTTCGCTTCGCCATGAATGTGTGTGCAATGAAGCCACGGCACGCAAAATGGTCATGAGGGAGCAGAACATCATGACATGTCCTCTTCTTGTTCACTCGATCCTTCGATATACTGGTCATCGAACACTGTAACGACAACTGCATTACATACGAGAGAACGTTCTTGCAGGAGGGTAAAGGCTTCATATCCGTCATCGAAAAAACGTTTTACGACAGAACTGTTTCGCAATAAGTATATGGGACTGTCAATGACCTCACTCAAATTGTCACCTCCCCTACCCGTGAAAATTCAATACTTGACCTTGTCTTCATAAGCGACGAATTTTGCAAAAAGGGATACCACAGTGAGGTTGTCACAGATTTGTCTGATCAAAATGCTGTAATTGCGTGCCTCAACATAGTGTGCCCGCCAAAACGACCTGAATTTAAGCGTGTGCTTGATTTTAGTGGTGCCGATGACAACTCTATTATCGATACGCTGTCATCTAGTTTTGAAGATTTTTTTCCTAGCAGTGAACACAGTGATGTAAATGTACTCCTTGGTCATTTTCATGGTATTGTGCAGGAGTGCATATCAAAGTTTGTGCCTCAAAAGTGCATTCAACGCAATCCAAAACATCCGTGGTACACACGGGAAATCATTCAACTAACTCGCCGTGTAAAGCGACTTCGCAAAGGTCGGCCTCTTTTGTCAGCTGCGCGATCACCACTGCTTAATTCTTTGAAGTGTACTTTGAAGGCGAAAATGCAGGAAGCGAAAAATTTCTATTTTAACAATACATTGTCACGGTTTATGGTAGAAAACCCGACCAAATTCTGGAAGTCTATTAACCCAAAGTCATCTGTTCAGTCTTGCTTCCTTATAAATGACCAATAATGCTCCGATTTTAACACTATTGCAGAAAGCTTCAACAACTACTTCAAGTCCGTTTTCTCTCGTGATTATGGCTCTATCCCAGATTATGCTTGCAACTTTGTTCAGTCTACAATTCCAGACATCACAATCTCTTGTTCAGGTGTTCACAATTTGATACTAAAATTAGATGTGACTAAACGTTCCGGTCCTGATGACATTCCTAATACGTTCTTGAGGCGGTACTCCGAATGGTGCGCTCGTTACTTGACTGTCATTTTTAATAAATCGTTTGCGTCGGCCACTGTTCCCATACTTTGGAAGACAGCTAATGTTGTCCCGTTATTTAAATCTGGCAATAAGCAGCTCATTACAAATTATAGGCCAATTTCCCTAATTTCAACAAGCTGTAAACTACTGGAACATATCATTCATAAACATATTGTTGAGTATTTGGACGCAAACAACCTTCTGTCCCGGTGTCAGCATGGCTTCCGAGCTAGATTTTCTACAACAACGCAGCTCTTAGAATTCACCCATGACATTGCCACATCACTTAACAAAAGGGGTCAGACAGACGCAATTTTCATAGACTACTCGAAAGTTTTCGACAACGTATGCCATAAAAAAACTTCTTCTAAAACTTAGTTCCTTTCTTAAAGATTCTAAATTACTCGGTTGGATTGCTGATCACTTGCGTTCTCGATCTCAGTTCGTTACTTTCAACCAGGTGCAGTCATCCCCTGTTGAAATCACATCCGGTGTGCCGCAAGGCTCTGTGCTAGGGCCTCTCTTGTTTATGATATTTATTAATGATGTTGTTAATGTCATCTCTGGAACCCCTGTAAACATACGTCTGTATGCCGATGATTGTGTACTGTATAACTGCATTACTACCTTTCAAGACCAGTCAGTCCTCAACAACGTATTCTCGTTATTCTGCGATTGGAGCTCAACGTGGCAAATGCCCATAAATTACAAGAAAACTGTAGCTATGACTTTCTCAAATAAAAAACAGCCTCTCAGTTTCAGTTATAACTACAATGGGTCCACCCTAGCACATGTGAGTGAATTCAAATACCTAGGCATCACCTTTACACATGGCCTTAAATGGGGCAAACATGTTGATCAGACAACTTGTCAAGCTCTAAGGAAACTTGGTTACTTAAAGCGAAGATTGAAAAACTTGACAAAAGATTGTAAGTTAACTGCCTACAAGACACTAGTGAGACCGATGCTCGAGTACGCCTCTGTGGTTTCGTCGCCTCATCTTGAGCAAGATAAAAACAGGTTAGAATCTGTGCAGAATAAGGCTATATGGTTCGTTTTTAACCGTTATGATCGGGACTTCTCCCCGTCTTCACATGCTCATTTGTTGTCACTTCCTTCACTGGAACACCGCCGTACACGTGAGAGTATTTTCTTGTTGCACAAGATTGTACACAAAATGACCCGCGTTCACGCGCCCTTATCTTTCGCTGATATACCAGCGCGTACAACACGTAGTACAGACGCTTTGAACCTTGTACCCTTCAGGTCTCGTTTGGATTGTTTCAAATTCTCTTTTTTTCCGCGTGTGGTGGAAGTTTGGAACAAGCTTGATGGTGCATTGCGTAGAATGAACACTGTAGAGTTCGGGAAAATTTTATGTGTTAGTCACATACATTTGTGCGCATTATTGTTTGTTTCTGTGCTTTCGTTGATTTTTCTGTACCCGCTCCTGCAATGTCCCAGGCATGGTACAGCAGTATTTGTAAATAAATAAGTAAATAAAGTATCATTCAGTAGTTGCATACACATCAATGGCGGATACCACAGCCAACTGAAAGTCAAACTTACGAACGAAAATGAAGGCTTCGTAAACTAGGCTCTTGGATTTAGTGCTTCATAGTGACCATATAGATTTCCCTAAATATGCACTACAGATATAATCCGGCGCAAGTGTGTATGGGGATTGAAACGCATGGCGCTTCAGTCAGCACGGCAATGATGGGTAGTACGTGGATTTGAGTAGGCTTCTTTCTTTAGGCTCCTTTTGGCATCGCGTGTCCTGCTGCCACTCTGTGCCGTGACGAGGTTCACGAAGGCCAGCAAACATTCAGCACTTCCCCTTCACCACCTAGGCTCTTTTAGATTTGGAAGTTAGCTCATGAAACTCGGAACAATCCATCCTTCCATCCGAAACAAAAGCGAGAACACAACAATAAACAAAGCCACAGGTATCTTCAGAGTCTGAATCAAGATGACAAGACACATACATGTGCTACAAGTGCTATATACCCCATCATTCCCGAAGTTATTCAACCATAAGAGTTGCGGAACTCCCCGCAGATTGCATGCAGTGAAATTCGAAATCATTATTGGCCAAAATTGGGGGGGGGGTGGGGGTCTATTGAACCTCTTTATCATGTGTTCTACGTAGCGCAGAATGTGATCGCCGCCGCATTCTGCTAAATATCGTAACAGAGCATAAAGCAGCAGCGTGTTTGTGTTTTGCATTGCTGCTCACAGAAAGAGCAACAGTCTGCAGGCACCCGCAGAATGAATCTCTGTACTCAATTTCACCACACGTGGAGCAATTGAGTTCTGAGATCCATTCTGCGGGAACTCAATTTTCCCACGTGTGGTGAAATCGATGCCCGTGCATAATTCAGTTGGTGACTAATTGAAGACCTCTGCGCCATCCCCATGGTGGTTGAACGATGGTAGCCAGAGTTTCCTCTAGTAAATGTTGTAGGGAAGTTTACGGTCGTGACCACTTTTATGTTCGTCATTACGTGTTGACAACTGAGCCCTTGTGAAAAACGGAACCAAATCCAGTCAGCACCAAAGCACCGACGATCCACTGCAAGGTTGGTTGTACCAAAGTACGCAGTCCGTCAACTGAGGTGAGTGCGCTTGCTGTCACAGTCTTGCGGACGCTTCACAGTCAGTATAGGTGCAGCTCAGTCGACTTCAAATGCATAGTTCGTGTGTTCGCTGGCAGTTCTCACATCGGGATTGAGAGGAGATTTGCGTGAGCTCGCCTTCCACAACAACCAGTCTCGCTTCACGTCGGTGTCTCTGGGTCCAAAGGTTTCGGATGCCACAAACGTGGTCTTGAATTTCTGCAATATAAAAGCCAGAAATTAATCATCCATCCACTAGTTCACGTTCACTAAGGGTCTTTTAGACAAAAGCGGGGTGCCTCGTTTTTGTATTGTGGTACCGGAGTACAAAGAACAACTGTCGCTGACGTCACTGCCTCAACATTTCGGGCGGGTAACACACATCTTCAACAGCCCAGAGGGTATGATGTCGGCACAACGGGAGCCTTCGTCGAAAATTTACCGACCTGAAAGTGCTGTATACGAAGTGTACAATGTATACGAAGTGTGCGAAGTGTACAAAGCCTCTGTGAATGGTACCTTATAAAAAAAACATGATTTCTGGTAGCCCTCCTGGTATTTTGCAGCCACGCTACTTTTTATTTGTGACTAAACTATTAAAAGTGAAAATTTGGTCCTCATGTTTATGGATTTTTTTTTTTCAGAATGAGATAAGGCATATACATAACTATCAATCCAAAGTAGTGAGTAAATCTAAGTATTGAAGCCAAATTTTTAGAGTGTTCATCCATCAGGACGATCTCCTTTCGTTACAGCTGCGTAATCTTGTGATTCGATATCTACGAAGTCACGGTACAAACAAACGCAAAAAAAAAATCGCCTGTACGGTGCGTTTTGGAACTGTGTCGCCACCTATCGAGTACGTATGAGAACAAAGGAAAACCCTTGCAGCATTTCGGCGCTAGATGGAGATACTGCGCAAAACTCCGCAATCTTTCAGCCGTGCTTGCCACCGGCCGGCCGTAGAGTTAATATACGGCCGGCCATACGGCCGTACAATGCTGAATGCACTGGTTTTGTCCGTACAGGCTTAACCATTTCCACACCCATTCACCATCAATAAAGTTTATTCCCACTGCTCCTCATCAAGCACCGTTAAAACGTTTAAGCACTGGGTTAGACACCCTCTGCTGTAAAAGAAAATAACGAACTCTAGCTTCATTTCTGCAAATCTGCTGGCATACTGTTGATACAAGTTTACAAATGCAACTCAACCTTTGTACGTCACCCCCTAAATATTGTCACCTTCTGCTGAAAAAAAAAAAAGAACACTACGTACATACGCTCAAATAACAGCGAGGCTAAAACGTGTGGTCCCGGTGCTCATCAGTGTGTTAATCTCAAGCGTTCATCAAAAGCTTTTCCAAATATTCTTTACGTCTCTCCAAAATAATTCATTGTTGTTTGCTGCTCGTGCGTTCCCTTCTTCGTTTTTACTGGACCAGTGGTTAGCAGTCGGATTCGCCCAGTGTCTGGGGCACATTAGTTTATACGCGCGGATAACTTCATTTTAGTGAATCTGTGGTGAATAATAAGGCTTGTCAATTTTCCACGGCACTACGCTCTAGGAGCTTTTACGTACATTGGAATGACGAATTTTCATTTGGCGCAGCCATGCACATCTTCACTGTTTGAAAAAATTTCACGCATATCGATGAAGTGAATGCTGATGATGGAGCGGAGCAGTATGTATCAAATAATGAATCGTAGCCCTCAATTTTGTGCTGGTTTGTTATTCTATTTTGTACATGTTAAATTTTGTTTTATCGTAAGCTCTGATTGTTGGGGGGGGGTAAATTTCGGTGTTTTTACGGTGTTGTGCCCTTTTAATTTATTTGTTGTTGTTAACAGCCTTTAGATAACCTTTTTGTTGTGCACAGACGTTTCGGTTTGTTCACATGCACCTTCGCTAGATCTGCTGTAGACGACGGTGACACACGAACATTATGCGTTGAGGTGCCCCGCCCCTGAAAAAGTGAGACATTTGAAGTGACAGTCGTAGAGGATAAGATCGTTACTCGATCGGAAATGTAGAAATCGTATGCTATATACTAGCGGATCATGCTTGGTATATACGTCACCTCGAACGCGTCGGACCCGGGTGCTTTCACGAAAGCCACGGCCATCCATAGCCCAATCTGGCCAACAGCCACGGCTGCCAGGATCCAGCCTATGGTCTGACCAATCGGAGGCAATGAAGAAGAAGACTTCTCCGTTGCGGTTCCGTATATGAAGATGGCCTTCGAAAACATGGAGAAAATAGGTAAAATATAGCGGAACCTTTTTTTTTTCTTTTCTTTCCGAAACAAAACATAATAATTGTCGCATTATCATTTCGTTTTTGTATCTGTGTGTTGCTGTTGTGCCCTGTTTAAACGAACTATCTGGGCACGTGGCATTCAGTATTTCTTTTTGTAAAAGTGCACCTATAATGCGAAGATAAAGAAAACTAGGTGACTGGCCGACTTCAGGGTACTACTTTCATTTTTAAGTTATTCATGGCTTCTTTCTGTGTAGGTCAATATAAGAATTCGCCATAATACGTTTGCGCCACGTTTCCCTTACTCTGTGGTCGGCTTTTTTGTTCTTTATACCTGTGTTTATATGGATGCTTAGTAAACTGCAAGGTCACCAATTTATCTCAAGGGGTATGAGCTAGTTATTCAGGCAGCAGCAGCGACAAACGTTAATAATATCACCTTCTTTTTTTTTTCATTCAGCAGCCCTGATATCACAAAATGTGACGTGATTTCTTTCGTGACAGTTATGCGGTCATTTCTTAGGAGTTACCACCTCCGACATCCATTGCGCATTACGTACGCATACTCGAGAAAAAGAAGAGAAAAAATAAGGAATAGAACGCCAACGAAATGTACTCACAATTAACGACACCGGCGTGAGAACGCCCCAGGTAATTTTCCAGTACCACGATATGGGATTGCCGAGCATGTAGCCGATGTCACCGCACATATTCTTCCAGCCTGAATGACGCGATAATCAAAGGAATAGACGGGTAAAAAGCCGTGGCGAAGAAATGCTCTTGTGAATTGGTGTTATGGCTTCAGAGATGGTTCACATTAATTATTATTATTATTATTATTATTATTATTATTATTATTATTTTATTATTATTATTATTATTATATTATTATTATTATTATTATTATTGTTATAATTATTATTATTATTATTATTATTATTGTTATAATTATTATTATTATTATTATTATTATTATTATTATTATTATTATTATTATTATTGTTGTTGTTGTTGTTGTTGTTGTTGTTGTTGTTGTTGTTGTTGTTGTTGTTGTTGTTGTTGTTGTTGTTGTTGTTGTTGTTGTTGTTGTTGTTGTTGTTGTTGTTGTTGTTGTTGTTGTTGTTGTTGTTGTTGTTGTTGTTGTTGTTGTCGAATAGACAAAAAGCACGAAGACATAAAGGAAATACGGAGGTAACACGCAGACAAGTGCAGCAACCGAAAGGGGGACACAACGTCTGTTCTGTTATTCGGTGAGTGGAAACAGAGGAAAGAAAGATAGGAAGATAGAGAAAGGGAAAAAATGTATACGAACAACAGAGGAGGGGACACAAATAAGTAGTTACGCGGTAAATTATTTGTACACGCGAGGCCAATTAAGAAAATTTGCAGGACGCCATGGGTACGGTCACGCCAAGCAGCCTACCCTTCCGGAAACAAACATCAAAGGTTGCGTACTTGAGCCAAATAAGTCTATGTTTCTTGACAATGAGTTCCTACGAACAATCGCAAATACCACATGCCACGCTCTACAGTAAACTTGGCTTCCTCTCTACAGCAATGAATGCGATCTGCTCTTCGCGACGACTAATCATAAAAGCAGAGTAGCCTCCGCCCTTCCTGTCCTGTAAACACAGCAGGGAATGAGATGATAGAGGCTATATCGATGTGCATACAGAGGTAAATGGCGCCACAAATCAGCAACTGGTGAACTTTCAAACATACAAAAGTTCGTATCGATCGGTTGGGACGTCGATAAACAGTGCACAGTCCCGCAGTACGCAGTTCGTTCATAGATAACGTCCTCGAGTCATACAATAAGTACACACTGCCCCATCCACTTCTCCCCTACAAGTGCGTTTCGCTCTTGCTATACTTTGAAAACACCACCGGCTATGGGACTCACCATACACCCAGACGAGGCCGACCACTTCGAAGATGGCGTACAGAAAGAGAGCTCTCCCGATACCGTAATTGTCGAACAGTAGGCGCATCGTATTTCCGTTCTGCAGACAAATGTGAAGGTCAACATAACGCCAATGGGTTAGCGCAGATAAGATAGAACTAGAAAAAAAAAACTGTAAATAACTTCTTTCCCGATCTATCATCGCCTTCATCCTCATCATCATCATCAACACCTCCTTCTCTGCTTTCTTTACCATCCCCTTCTCTTTGCCAACGCTGAGTAGTAGATCAAAAAAATTATTCAGGCCAACCTCTCAGCTTTTTGCTCATAATAACCCCCTCTCGCTCTATTGGCACACGCAAACACTATATCTTAAAATAAGCAGTGAGAAAGAGTGATCAAGTGTGTTTACAAATTGATCTGTGTCTGAGCATGGCAACCGTAATATCGTGCCATCATACGATGCTTTGTGGTAGAAAAATTCTTAGTATTCGGTTCGAAGAGTTTAGCAGAGAGAAATGGATAGGGAAATCGGGAAAAATATTGAAATCAACCAAGCACGAGTAGTTTGCTTGTTCTTGAGTCAGGGAGGCAGGAAATGTAATAAAAGAAACAAAATGTATAAGAAAACCGGTACGCCCAATAAAAGGTAAAATAAGTTATCCAGAGCAAACGCACTCGCATGTTAACGCTTACTGCCAGCAGAAGGTAGCTTTACGCATTGCAGTTGCATTCGGGAAGCGCAGAAGGACTGCAGCAGAAATTAACTAATAGTTTGGCGGCTCGATAACTACGGTCATGCTGGAATACCACCCAGCCCGCACAAAATACACAAGCTTCGCCATGGACCAATTTGTCACCTTCACTGTGCGTCTGCGTGTCTTCTGCGAGCTGTGATTTCAGCGTGATATATAACATGACATTTGTGGTCTGGTGCATGCCATGGTGCCTACGCTATGGTCCCATATATTGGTCACCAGGAGTGTCCAAGCAACCGTGGCTATAACTCGCGAACCACACCGTCGAGCATGGACCCATGCGCCTCGTCAATTCGTGTAATTCAGTATAAATTTTCGGGTTATTACGTGATATAAATGTCCGGGTTACGGTAACCACAATGTTCTTTTCTATTATTTCATTGCTTTTTCAGGTGCGGTCGTTCTAAAGAAGTGAAAGAAAAGAAAAATGCTAGATTGCGTATGGCCGTGCTTCTGGTTGCCGAAGTACGTCCAGCAGCGGCAGAAAAACATTTCATGTGGTAGACAAAAAAAAAAAAAAGATGCGTCCCATATCGTTATTTAAAGAACCAGTTAGCCTGTATTTGCTCCGTGACTAGTACGCAACAGTATAAAGTAATCCCAGAGTGAAATCAAACGAGTGAGCAAACTATTCATAATATAATTCAGCGTAAAACGCTGCCTATAGTACGATCACGAGCCACGATCTTTCTTCGTGCTATAAAGTTGGCCCATTGACAAGGGTCGATCCTTAAAGACAATTCTGGCATTTGGCATTATCCGCACATGGAACCATTTAGACCATATAGGCTAGCGCTTCTTGCAACATATACCGCAACATTCGGAACACATAACTATAACAGCCAGTGCGCGCGAAATAACAGGTCGTTTTCGAATAGCGTACACTAACTTTGCGGGCGTCGCAGGTGTAGCGTTTGCGTATGGGTGCCACATAAGTTATTGAATAGCGTTTTCTCCACCGCGGAGGGCCATCTCCTCGAGATCACCGCAAAGGGGCTTTGCGGGCCTGGCGGGCCACACGCTGTTTCGGATTTTCTGAAGGCGGACTGCAAACGGTAACGGCGGTTAGCGCTATGACGCATGTACAGTAGCAGCGACCGCAACAGATACGTAAGCAACGATACGTAGAATAGCGTACGCAAGGCGTTGCGTGCGCTATTCGAAAACTCTGTAGTGTTACGCGTTTACACCGAAACACGGCAGACTTACATCAGTGCACAACAAAAGGCCCGTACCGAAGCACACAGCGCATATTGCAAGAACTGTGCAACCCTTGAGCTCTTGCAGCCTGGGATACTGGTCCTCTAGGACAGCCACCATGAGCTGGATGTTGGACACCTGTGGAATAAAGCGGCAGATAGATTTCGCAGGGTCAGTTTGGTATTGGTGTTTCTATTTATTTGTTAAGTATATAGTTTCAGTTGTCATTAATGTCGTTCAACGTACTAACTAAAGCTCGATTTGCATTGCTTTTCCGAATAAGCTTGTGCTGTTCCGTGTTTAGCTGATTTATTTGATTCGCCAACAAGCAAATGGTCTCGCACTCAGTGTCTTGAACTTAAAACGTCCTTGCATAAATGTCTTTTTTCGTATGTATTTCATATTCATGACAATAGACATGAAACTGGGAAAAATTTCAGTTTGCTAAGTTCGAAGCTTATCAAAACGACATATGGTAGATTGAGCTCCAACAGCTCCAACAAAGCTGTTAAATCTGGATCATTATTTTTTAATTTATTGTCAAACACTTACATATAGTAGAGAAGTAATATTAAGTACGGTTATATGAGTAAAAATTATGAAGCATTAGAAAGCTTCCCTACCCAAATAACCTTAACATAAACGGCCACCTAATCACATTAACTCACTCTCCATGTTCTAACGCTGAAAGTTACTTTTACACTCTTGTCCAATTTTCTTGTACGGTTCATACATAATAAGCATGTATGACGCAAAATAACATTTCAAATAGAGCGTGACAAATATCTACTGATATTACAAACTGTATGAAACATGCTTATGAGGGCGTTAAATCGTCTCGAAAATATTTCAAATCAAGCCTCGTAATTATTTCACTCACGCCGCTTCCAAGACCGAGAAGGAAGAGCATGAAGAAGAATAGCACCGACCACAGCTGAGGCACGAACGAGATTCTGCTCAGAGCCTCCGGGTACGTGACGAAGGCCAATCCCAAATCTGTGAAGTGGGAGAACAATCCAACGACATTATAGGTTCACTTGCAAAAGACAGCCATTCGGTGTTACTCTTCTGTTTTTCTTTTGTTTTTGTTTTTAATTGAGAGGAGGTGATAAAAAAGGTGGAAGGTATTTTGCGAATAATACCTGGCCCAGGACATGTAAATGGCGAACACACCAGAAGCTTGAGTTTGCTTCTTTACCACCCTATTTTATTCTACAAGTGCGAAACAAACGCTAGACGCATTTGATGATGTATATGTGGGGTTTAACGTCCCAAAACCACCATATGATTATGATAGAATCAGTAGTGGAGGGCTCCGGAAAGTTCGACCACCTGGGGTTCTTTAACGTGCACCCCAAACTCTAGACGGAAATGTTTACATAGTATACTTTAGCTCCAATATATATTCCAGCAAACTTTTATAATTTCGTTGCGCAAATCTTCGAAGCGCGTTTATAAGCAAAACATCTATGGCCACGAACCACATACCTCACTGTAAGGATTGAAACATGCCGGCCACTACTAATTCATTATGAAAAGCAAAGAAAGACTGCGGGGATAAAGTTAAGCGCGTCCCCCAGAGAGACTCCCGTGTAACTGCCTGCAGGGGACAACGAAATGGTTTCGCGTAAACGTAATCAGCGGCAAAGACAAGATAGATTGATATGTGGGGTTTAACGTCCCAAAACCACCATATGATTATGAGAGGCGCCGTAGTGGAGGGCTGCGGAAATTTTGACCACCTGGGGTTCTTTAACGTGCACCCAAATCTGAGCACACGGGTCTACAACATTTCCGCCTCCATCGGAAATGCAGCCGCCGCAGCCGGGATTCGATCCCGCGACCTGCGGGTCAGCAGCCGAGTACCTTAGCCACTAGACCACCGCGGCAGGGCATCGGCAAAGACAAGGAAAACCGAATAACGTGCGTAATTGAAGGTGACACCATTCAGCTAAACCACGAAGCCCATCACGCCAGCGTATACGCTGCAATGTGATACGTAATACTCGTATTACAATCACTTGCCTGATCATCGTCAGTGGATATTCTGTTTTAGAGACGGGTGACTGTTGGCCTTTACTCAGTACGTATCGACAAGCCGAACCCATTTTTTGTTACCCGGGTCGCCTGAAAAATCATGCAACTACATTCGAAATACCATAGTTTGCATACGTTATTAGTGGAATCACGCAACATTATTCCATATGGTCGTTTATAAAAATACGGCTAAGTTGATCAAGTTGTAAAGGAATACGAGCGTTTAAGTACACAGTAGTATGATCTTTCCACTTCATTGTAGTCGTAGAGCCCGGTGCACATATCGCGTATTTGAGCAGAGCAATGCATTAGCTTACCCGAAGTTCCTTTCAAGACCTGGGAGATGTCTTGCAGACCGAGTTGATGCGCCAGTGCACCTAGGGTAGAGAAAACGACCGCTCCAGCTAACAGGCTTGTGGCTGTGTCGGCCATTGAAATGAGGAAGGCGTCCCTAGAATGCACAGGTTCAGATACGCCTTCGATGAAAACATTTCTTATCATTCTCTTGATTCCACATGTGAATGGGTTTTAACGGACGGCCAGTTACTGCAACAAAAACTTGGAACCTTATTTTAACAACGCTCGAGAGGTTCATGCTCGTGACGTCGCGTAGCCCCCGAAACTTCGCCAGTTGCCCTCTGTAGTGGTAGGCGGCAGTGTCGCACGGATGTTCAAATAACCGCTCAGATACAAAAAATAATTCACCTGAAGGTGTTGGCGACCACATTTGACATTACTCGTATAACCTGCACGCCTGTGCCAGAAGTGAACTAAGGCTGCACGGAAGGCTTGTTGGTGATTCGTAGCGTCTGAGAACTGGCTAAACTCCCTGTCCTTCCTCTTTCAATCCTCCTCCTCGTAGCATAAGATGGCGTAACCTACACGCCTGTTCCAGAAGTGAACTAAGGCTGCACGGAAGGCTTGTTGGTGATTCGTAGCATAAGATGGCGTAACCTACACGCTTGTTCCAGAAGTGAAATAAGGCTGCATGGAAGGCTTGTTGGTGATTCGTAGCATAAGATGGCGTAACCTACACGCTTGTTCCAGAAGTGAACCAAGGCTCCACGGAAGGCTTATTTTGTTTGTGATTCGTAGCATACGATGGCGTAACCTACACGCCTGTTCCAGAAGTAAACTAAGGCTGCACGGAAGGCTTGTTGGTGATTCGTAGCATAAGATGGCGTAACCTACACGCCTGTTCCAGAAGTGAACTAAGGCTGCACGGAAGGCTTGTTGGTGATTCGTAGCATAAGCTGGCGTAACCTACACGCCTGTTCCAGAAGTGAACTAAGGCTGCACGGAAGGCTTGTTGTCGATTCGTAGCATAAGCTGGCGTAACCTACACGCCTGTTCCAGAAGTGAACTAAGGCTCCACGGAAGGCTTGTTGGTGATTCGTAGCATAAGATGGCGTAACTTACATGCCTGTTCCAGAAGTGAACTAAGGCTGCACGGAAGGCTTGTTGGTGATTCGTAGCATAAGATGGCGTAGCACATCCAGGACGGTACAAAAGCGAAAGACACGTGACACACATGCGCAGCGTTAACTATCAACAACACAGTTTATGCATAGGATCAACAGTACATATAACTTACTATAGGTGCGTATCAGGACACGTGTGCAAAAGAAACAATCATATCTAAAGCGCATGTTCACATCAGTCAGCTAATGAAATTTGAGAGTATTTGAGTATGACGTGAAGATGTGGATAAGAGGTACGACGATTTATTTCGGGCACGTGTCCCAGTACGCACTCAATGTGGGGTGTATGTAATGTTGACAATAACTGTTGGGGTTTAACGTCCATAAACCACGATGTGATTATGAAGCACGCCGTAGTGGAGGGCTCGGAAAATTTCGACCGCCCGGCAATTTTTAACGTGACCGCCACGGCCAGGATCAAACCAGCGATTGTCCGTTAAGTGGCTATGCCCACAACCACTGTTCCACCACGGCCACTCCGTACCACCTCTAGTTAACAATAACGAATGATGGAGAACAAAGTCTTGAATTGTGGCTTCACGGCCAAGCGTAATGCTCCACCGAGAAGCCATCTCTTAAGGGGGAATCCGTAGGTAAAGTTGCATCTCAATTTTACTCAAAGGTTTTTTGTTACATTGCTGGCGCGCGTAATGGCTGAAGAAATTATGTTTTCTGTCCCCCACATTGAGAAATTTACTTTCGCATACCTCACAGCAAATGATCGGCACCCGGCATTCTTTTTTAAAATTTCAATAGCATGAAGACACACCGTTGAAATTAAACACGGCCAACCAAATCACATATCTATTTCAGTATAATACAGTGTTTGTTAAATCAACATATCAGAAAAGCGTGGCACTGCAGATGTGAAAAGATTAAGAATTCACTAAAAGAAAAAAAAACAGTTTACATGGGAGGGAGGTGACTTGTGCCAGGCTTCTTGACTGCGGAGTCTACCTATCGACAAGTGAAAAACAAGACCAGCTCTATCCAGTCGATTCTTTTGCGACTAAGGCTGTAATACAGTTTAATACTGGTACCTCAACGATCCAAGCTTGTCACAAGCGCAAGCGTATTATCGCGAATCTAACTGACCCAATTTTCGCTTGAAACAAACGCTTATACAAGTGCAGTTTTCCTATCTGATGAACTTGACTCGAATGATATCATGGCTGCTTTGACAAACAATTTTTGTGAATCCTGATGATGTCGAAGTGCCATTTCTATTTCTTTTTATGTATTATGTTTATTTCATGCAGCAATTTTCATGCATGTTCATATTTTCTTTGTTAATACTCTAATGCTCCTCCTGCATGATTCAGAGTTGGCCTGCAGAAGCCTATAGCCTATACTAATGAAATAATAGTAAACATAGTTTGTTAAATAAAAAGCAAAATATTGGCTACTTGGGCTGATTGGTATCGCATTTTTGAAAGAAATATACTTTCTTAGTGCGCAGGGAATGTTTTCAGAAGGAAGATAGAGCTGAGAGATGCACTCTGTCATATCTCTCGGCTCTATCTTCCATCTGAAAACGTTCCCTGCGCACTAAGGAAGGATATTTCTTTCAAATATTGTTAAAGAAAAAGGATACACCACCATTATTTTTTTGCGGTAAGATTAGGTATATGCCTGTCCCACCATCTGCATCGAATGCAATTGTTTTAGAACATCAAAAATATGTGCCAGGTTTTAATTTCATTGGCGGTATGTAATAGCAAGCATTTAAAAAGACCACGAAACTAGTTTGGCCCCTAGAAACTTGAAGCATATAAGTGTGTCCAACAAGCACTTCAATTTGGTTGCTTTGCAGCAGAAAAGAATACGGACGTTTCTATTTTCATTTTGTCAGAGTTTACTTGCCCTCAGCCGTACACCGCTTGCTTTAGCTCTATGAGACAAATTGCATGTAACATTGCTGTTCTAACAACGTTAAGTTTTTTCCCAGTCATTAACATGTGCTACACATATTGGCAGAAAGTAACTCCCTGGTGACAATATACCCCACGTCTTTACCTTTAAAAGGTGATCTACGAGTAAATTTCAAAATACCTGGAAACATTATGCTTGAAGTCATTGTAACTTGAATACATTGTCAACACTCCCATGCCGATGCCAAGAGAAAAGAAGGACTGCTCACATGCTTTGAACCATACCTGAAGAAAGGGGAAATAGTGTGTAAGAAGACTGGCAGCACAGCACTTTCATTCTCACAAAATAGGTTGCTGCGAGCGCATGGTTTGTCGCATCTATCGCAAAACTTTCCAAGAAAATGCAGTAATAGAAAACGGGAGCTTTACGACAAAAGAACGAACCGTTATATTTTACACCTAAACTTGTGATTTGGGCGGATTCAACGACATTGGGAGTCAGTGTAAGCTGTCTAATGCGTGCAGGCAAAAGTTCATGACTACGGCAATTAAGCAAGCGTTTTCATCGACGTAATTGCAGTGACTACCGATAGTATATAAGCACGCTTATGGTATTATGTTAGCGTAACTGGCATACTTGTATTTCGAGTATCTTGCTCCATTGTGGCACAAAGAGAGCTACGAGACCATTCGCTGCTCCTTCCTGGAGCAGCGTGACGACCAGGAGCGAGACGAGAACCACGTACGGGAACGTGGACGTCATGTACGCCACCTGCAAGATGGCACAGGAAAGGCACGAGTATATATATATTCGTGCCTTTGCTTCAATAAACTTTATTCGAGAGTCAGCGCTCGTGTTGTCTTGTACTACGTCTGCGTCCTTCTTGCGCTGTAAGTTATCGAAAATGAACTATTACCAACTAGCCCAGATTTCCCTTCTTGTTTAGGAACCCCAATGTATAGCGAATGACCACGACAGTATCCTGCCTGCCCTGATCCGATGCTGACCACCAGTATTAGATGACCGTCAACTGTGGCGTCACGAAACCCACGGGCTTTGTGCTGGCCGCGCGGAGAGGTGATAACTGGGGTCTAGGTTATGCAAGTACTTTCTCTAAATGTGAGTGAAAAAGCATAATAACCTGATGATTTCATATGTGTGGTTTAACGTCCCCAAACCACCATATAATTGTGAAAGACGCCCTGGCTACACGGTGGAACTTACCGAAAGCGCCAGTGCGACTCAGACCTTCGAGCTGGACTTCGTAAACAATCCGTTTGAATATGTGTGCGACATGTGTGAGAGACTGTGGCACATGAAAAAATTGGCACTGGTAACTAGTGTCATGCGTGAAACGCTGAGTTTAGCGGCGTCCTCTTAGCTCACGTTATCCTGGCATAGCCTATAGCTAAGCCACTGCTACATTTTTTTTCTATTCTTATTCTTCTATTCTTTCAATTTTTTGCTGGCTTTATTAATATCATAGCCGGCTCTGACGTAGCCCACGTCACCGAGTGTTTCGTATGTAAATAAAAAAACTTAAATTCTACTGCACGCTCATTCAGTGATGTGTTCACGTACCTTGCCGATGGAGTGAACGCCCTTGATGGTGGACACTCCTTGGATAAGCCACGAAAGCGACAGGCACAGCGCCATCCTCCAGTCGAAGGTCGAGGGAAGCTTGAATTCCCCGGAGTCATTCAAGGCGTAATTCCTTCGCAAACAAGAAAGAAACAAAAAATACAACAGTAAATGTCCGTGAAAAATGAACCTTATTTGTCTGATTTGTGTTGTCAAGAACAATCTCCCAAGTGAGGCTGTTGTTTAAACTTTAAAATTAAAAAAAAGGAAGCTACCACATAACGTGTAACTACCACTTCCATACTGAAATACATGCCAAAACGCTGAGAATGCTTAAATGAGACAACCTGATGTAGGAGAGGAGGAAATTGTTCTTACTGCAGATAATGCGAGGGAAACGATTTTTTTTTTTCACCTACAAGGAGGGAGACAGAAAAGCAATCAATATTGGCAGGGGTTCGCAGGGGGGGGGGGTGGATTCACTAGGCCACCTTACAAAAAGAAGAAGAATGATAGTTTACTTAGGCATAATGAAGATGGTTTCAGGTTGGGAAAGAGATTTTTACAATTCACGAGAGATTTTGGGGCATTGATGTCACCTCTTCCGTCACCTCGTGCATATGGTGTGACAGCGTTTTTATTGACATGTAATGCAATGCAACTGGCTACTACTACTATTACGACGACAACAACGGGACGTACGACCCACGGCGTAAGGAGCTTCGCCCCTAAATGGTACTATACACACTCGCTACCAACCACCGTAGTGGTCGCGTACTAGCCAAGTCTTTGATAAAGGAACCTTGTACCTGTAAGGCAATGCTCTTTATATTTTCCTTTAAATGTGTCATACTTTCACTCAAGGGCTAAGGAGTTATATTACCATATCAATAAAAAATGATAATTCTGCATATACCATAAGAAGACTACCGTTAACGCACGAACAGGAAAACCATTCTAATCACAATTAGCATTGATATAAACACCTACGCAGAATAAAATCGAACATGGAACAGCTCTGCAGCACTGAATAAACAATAAACAAATTTTCAATGGCACACTTGCGTCTTTCTTCGCACAAATCTTACCTGAAAAACTGCTCTGAGGAAGAGGTAGCATTCTCCGTGAGGTTGAGAGTGGCGTTAAACTGCGTTACCAACACGAACAGAGTCACCTAAGAATGTTGCCTGGGAAGGTAATCGTCATGCAAGGGTACAAAGCAACGATAACTGGGATCTGAAGAAAACATACTGAAAGAAACGCTGCACAGTGGTAATGAAAAATGAAAATAAACCACCATCTAGGTAAAAGTGAGACACGCGGCATTGACGAAAATGGAAGTTAACAACCAAGCAAGTAAAAGGATGAAAACAGGTGAACGCAGCAGACATACGACATGAAGTTAGGCGTTTTCCATGACATGGTGATCTCGTTGGCTCAACTCTTACATGAACAGAAACGTCAGCTTTCGTGCACTTCCTTTAATTCCAGGTGGTGGAGACTTAAATTTGCAGACGAACGATTCACGCCCTTGCTGTTCGTGGTAGGATCTCTCCATCCATTTCTTTGCACCTGTTTCGTATTAGTTCTTCTAGCCCATTGTTGCAGGCTGTTTACACATGTTGCTTTCTAGTTGTAGCACGCTGCTGCTCGCTGTTTACACGTTTATTTCTAGTTATAGTTCCTTAAGTGCATTTTTGCTTGTAAAGCGTATTCGCAATACATTATTACCGCTGTTATGATTAATTTTTTTTCCATAAAAAACGGATGCACGCACGCGTACACATGTGTTTTAGTTAGAGTCGTTCAGAGATGCCGTCATTTTTATTTTACTTCTCTCTCTCTCCCTCTCTCTCTTTCTGTGTGTGTGTGTTTCTTCCTATCCCTCTTTCCACGCGTCTTTGCAAACCGGCTACTCTTACAACATTAACCTTCTTGCGTCTCCTTTTAATCTATTCACCTCTCTCTTTCTTTGTTTCCTTCCACGAATATGTGTGAAAATAGGCTTTCTTACTGCACATAGTTCACCGCACGTCATGATTATACGTCAACTGCTGCGATTTTGTTTATAGATCTCTGTGCAATAAGTTTCATTAGGACATCGCGCCAGTGCACGTACTCAGTTGTGTGATAGACGTGCGGTATGGGATGCTATAGATATGCACATGTTTGCGGGCCTCCCATGATTCTGATGAAGATAGGCAGCACATTTCATGTATGGTTGTATATTCTCAGACAAAGGCTGAATCACGGCGATGCTTGTGTAGGCGTGCCTGATGTACCGCTTTATTTTCTTTGTTTCTTTCTTTCTTTCTTCTCCTCTTTCTTCCTTTCTCTGTCTCTTTCTCTCTTTCTTTCTCTGTCTCTTTCTCCTTCTTTTTTCTCTTTTTCTTTTTGTATTTCTTTATCTTTTTTGCTTCTTTCTTTCTCACTCTCTTTCGTTGTCTCTTTCTTTCTCTTTCTCTCTATTTCTTTCTTTCTTTATTTATTTTTTTCTTTCTTTCTTTGTGGATAGCGGTCGTCCACAGTTTTGGGGCGGAATCGGCACGACGTCTTTCATGTTTCAGTCTGTATATACAAACTTCACTTCAATAAAAAGGACGCATGTAACCACTAAAAATTTCCCATTACTTCTTAGTTATAACGTTAGTCGCATACAACTTAAGGATTCCGCAGAGAACCTCTGCCTCAGCTAGTTGCGCATGGTCCCGCGCCATGCACTCGGTTTAATGTTCTCCGAAGGCGGAGTTACCGGCCGCCCGGATCATGACGTGGGCATGCTTGTGTGCATCCGACTTTGAGGCGGAAATGCCGCATAGTCCTGAAGTTTTATCCGACTGTAGGTATCTAAATCTATAGTGATGTGGGATGGGTACAGTGATAGATTTAGAGGGGTGATCGCCCCCTCCCCCAAAGTCCGTGTCAGCAACCCTCCCCCCCCTCTAACTTCAGTGCTCGTAGTCCACCTCCCATCACCAATTAGGCCAAATGGGTTAAACCACTGTGAGCACACATTAACAGTATTTATGTTATGAAGCAGTTTTTTCCGCTAATACAAAAAAAGGTCATGACCACGCCTACCTCTGCTGTGTTGCTTCAGGCGTAAAATGTGTGACTGGATCCGCGCCTGGGTGAATAACGTTCTACTTGGACCTTTATTTTATCTGTACTCTTTTACTAATCACAGCGGCGCCCTTTAGCATTATAGCAACATTTGAAACTGTTTGCGAATAAGTGTCATACTTCAGAGCCATGCGGCTGACACTCAGAGAGTAAGAGCCAAAAAACAAGGAACGGTGAAAGAAATCCACCAAAAGCTGGCATAATCCTTCACAGAAAAATGGGACACAGTTCATAAACAAACTACATAGGTATATCGCAAACTCGATTGCCAGATATTCTATTTTTCTCTGTAAGTTTCTATTCTATTTTTCTCTGTAAGAGTGGAATGAATTGTCTGCCATGCAAGTGTGCTGTAAGAATGAGGAACTGTTTATGTCGTTTCTGTAACCCCCCTGCTGTAACGTCTTTGGGCTATGCGGGTAACCTTTGAATGTAGAATAAAGAAAAAAATAAAGTTCTTTTAGAAGTGAATGCTTGCCATGCTTTGGTGGAAGCAGTTTTCGTCGCTCCATTGTGGGTCGCAGTTGCTCCAAGGAAGAGGGCTTTGCATAGAAGCAAACAGGTAGAACAGGCACAGGGCCATGATGTAGTTGTAAGCGACCAGGATGTAGAAGCTGGTCACGAACTGAGCGACGCTGATACCTGGGAGATCAGACAGATCAATATTCTTCGATTTCGTTGTTGTGATTACATATATAACAAGTTACGACAGACGTTTTCGCGATAATGAAACTTTATTTTACGAAAGAGAAAGTGCATACCTTTAAATCCTGGCACGCATTCCCACGTTTTGACTCCGCCTTTTCCGGAAAACTGACCAATGGCGAGCTCCAGAAAGTATACTGGCTTGCCGACAACGAACAGAAGAATGAAGTACGGTATGAGAAACGCCCCTGAAATAAAAGCAAAAACTGCGAATGACAAACTGTAAATTTGGATAATGTACGCTGTAAATGTTTAAAAAACGCATAATGTTACTCATGTATTTGCTGAATATGACTCGAATGCATTCAAAATTAAGCCATCAGGTGTGGTCATTGATCATCATCGCGTCATCGTCGTAGCTTGAGAGCTCAATGCGCGGTGCAAGGCCTGTGCGATTCTACGCTTCTGCCACGCAATGTTATATTCGATAACGTCGGGTCACATTGGTTGCATCTGTTGAACGTCCACCAAACTTTACTTCGAAGCTGATAAGGTTTTCGTTATGCCACGCAGAGCTGACAGAAAACATTTATCATCCTAGATAAGCCACACCCTCTCTTTATGTTCCTCTTCGTCCTCTTCATCTGCTTCTTCGCTCTCAGAACACGTGCGCTGATTTGTCCAGCGTGAGATGCATTAACTCTGATGAGCGAGAGAACAAGTAGAGAGAGAGAGAAGCCGATAAAATTATATCTCTTTCTGATAGAAAGGAAGAGATATAAATAAAGATGCAAAAGATGTAATGAAGAGAGAGCACGACCGAGAGAGAAATAGAGAGAATCAAAGAAATAGAGACAAAAAGAGAAAAACGAGGGAAAGAGGAAAAAGGCAACAAAGAGAAAGATAGAAAGTGTGAGAAAAATAAATGAAAACGTAAAGAGAGAAAGAAAGAAATATAGACGAGATGGACGTTACGAAAACAGAGGTGAGAGAAAAAGAAATAATAGGAGAAAGAAAAAAAATAAACAGAAACAATAAAATGCTGTCCAGATCCACACCTCCTTCTAACTCAGGCTTGGCACCATCTGTGCGAAGGTGCTTTCATTTTTGTTTTGTTTTGTTTTGTTGTTAACAGCCAAAGAAGCGCATAATCGCCTTCAATCTTCATGCACGGCGTACGTACCTCCTCCATTCTGGTACGCTAGCGTCGGAAATCGCCACACGTTTCCCAGTCCAATAGAAATGGACAGACATGAGAGGAAGAACAGCAGTCCTTTGTTCCACCGGGGTCGATTCCGAGATTCCTTGTTCTTGGGCTCGACATCCTGCCAATGTAATGTGAAAACTGCCATCTGTCATCTTGGTTAACATGGTAGGAAATGACCAAGAATTAAAAGTTCATATAATCACCAAAAGAGCATTTTTAAAACCTAATATTGTTATGAAGTACGAATAATGTTACTTGCAAGTTTTGTTATTTGGCTCAGCTCATTTCGATATCTCAGCTTACACAGTGTGTATTTTTTTACTTCATAATAAACTGTATCAAACCTTCACACCATGGCAGCATTGCGGCTATAGTGCGTCGAATCGCTAAGTTCGAGGAGGCGGGTTCGATTCCGGCACAAGATGACGGCGTTTCGAAGGGAACATAGAGATAACTAGACTTAATGCTGTATACTTATATTTAGGTGCACGTAAAAGAATTCTAGTTTGTACAAATCAATCCAGAGTTTCCTACTGCGGTGTGGTTCGTAATCATATCGCAGTTCTGGCATGCAACACCTACGAAGTATAAATTTTCACGAATAGCTCTAATTACTATTCGCACATTTTTGTACTAAACCTAGTTTGGTGACCTTGTACTATGAATAAAGCCCCATAGCACTTATTTCCCCAGTAAGACTGTTATTATCCTCTAATCCACGTGACAGCAGGCAAGGCTGGTGGGTGTAAGCGCAAAAAAAAAAAAAACTCACACGGTCCTGTATGCATTCACCTAAAATAACTCGACAATGAAAGTCATGTTCTTCCTTTGCATCTCTTTTCTTCTCACTCCAATATGCTGCCTGAAATCTTTCTGCACCTTCCGTGGTTTCGCAGAGGGCGGGCCGAAATCCACACACACCAGGCGATGTCATGTGATGAGGCCGTCAAAATGTCGTCACGTTAGGTGCCGTCACAGCAACGTTATGATGACATCACAATATATTTGCCACAGTTGACGTGATGGTGACGTCACGTGATAACGTCATTGCATAAAAAAAATTTTCGCATGACTTAGTTTGCGCAAGCGATGATTCTCATTCTCATTTGATGAAGCACCTAAGGCTTTCACTTGAACAAATGTAGCAGTTATAACAAATCTCCTAAACTTGGGCATTTTCGTTTCAAACTGCCACTTTCTTTGCCGTCAGCTTGTGGTGCCTATGTGCTTTGGTCGTGTGGAGGAAGTAACGAGAGACGAAGAAGAGGAAGAAGTGAGCACAGGTGGCCGTCTGTTTGCCCCCTCTTCGTGCCAACCAACCAACCAACCTTACATCTCGTCGAACAAGCCCCACGTCCATGGCCGAACCGGAGAACCTCCCGACCCCAGTGGTGCGCACGCGATATCCGAGGAGGCGACTCTGGCAAGACATTCTCGGTGCTTCGGCGGGCATCTGCATCGGTGCCGCTTCCTTGGTGTTGATAGGTATATGGCACCCCTGGCCTTCTTGGGTAAAGCGACGTTATGTAAACTCGTAAACGCTAAGCCTTCTTCCATGTTGGTGGTCGAGTCAGTACTGATATTCTGACGTCCCGTTATGTTACATACATCGCCTTACGTTGTCCAGATATCACAAAGTGTAAACACGGATCTCTTTTATCAGCGTCCATCATCTTTGGGTGTTTTCCACTTGTAGCCAGCGTCGTCGACAGTCTGGCAGCTTAGAAGGCAGCATCGATGCCGAGTCTTCCGAGCAACGGAATGCGTTTAGATGGCGTGTGTTCGACATGACAACGCCTCACATCGACAAGAGAAAGTTACGGGAAACAAATCACTTAGTATTGAAACCTACGTGAAAACCATGCCGTTGCTTACCTTGGCATCATTGTTTGTTGGCTATCTTTATTGTCGCGCCTAACAGAGCAAAACTAGCCCTTATATCTCCACTTTCTTACGTTAAATAGGTACAAGGGTGTCTACCTGTGGCCAGATGACCATACCAGCGAAATTTCGGCATGCCTTTCAGCAGCCATGTTCTTTCGCGCGCAGAATAGCCTACATCGTATTTGTATTTGATGACGTCTTCGCGAAGTATTATATTTCGCCGGCTACGTGATCATAAAAATGAGACATAAATGTGCCGCTGTGCGTGTTTATGTTGTCATTTACGGCGAGTGTTGGAACACTATTTTTTTCATTTTATGCAGCTTTCAAGTATAACGCCGCTAAACCGACTAGACAGGACATGAACGTCAATTACAGAATAAGAGGCAAAACCAGTTACGTATACATCCACGCTACAGATTTGCAGTCGCATATGGCCAACGATTATCCGCCTCGTACTGCGCTCAGCCTTGTAGCCGGGGTGGGGGGGTGGTAGGGGCTATAAAAAAGAGAATGGACGTTTTTCTTTCATAGTTACCGAGGCCTTCAGCAAGTGCGCTCCCCCCCCCCCCCCCTCGTAAACTGGCTACGCACCAGACTGCACTGTAGACATCCAGGATTGACAAGTATTACAAATCACAGAAGAAATATGTAACGACCATACCTTGAAAGGAACTAAAGAAACTTTGCATAAAAAAAGTGGATACAAGATGCTGAGCTTGCTGTCATGCACTGCCAATATATTATACAGGTTTAATGTACAATAGGCTGATTTCTAGTCCGTAGCACACGCATCAGGCCCAATCCAGTTTCTTCAGTGCATTCAGATGTCGCAAAAATCTATATACAGTGTGATTTTCCCAAATGCCTAGATTATGTTACAGATTGTGACGACACACGTGTATTGTGCTTGAGATACGATAAGCACACAAAATAGTCACCTTCGACTATACGCAATCACCTGGACGGACTCACTTTCGATTACGCCGCCTCCGGTGTCTTTAGAATCAGTCCATTTTACTTAGCTGGACGCACGATTACACACATGCGGAACGCGGAAGAAGAAACCAGAAATAATATGACTAAATTTTACTAACTTGATAAAGTTTCTCTTGCTCAGGCGTCATCGTGAGCGCGGACGTCCTTATGCCGAGCCACCCAATCAATCGCAACGCCAATCAGACGAAGGCGACCGTCCTGGAGGCTGCAATCTCGGGACTGTTCAGCAAGATCGCCGCTCGCTTCGGGCCCGCCGACAAGCAGGGAACCGTAAGCCGTCGCCAGGTTCGCAACGGGGGCGCGTCCCTGCTGCTCGCCTACAACCTATCGGTGGACCTGCTGGAGCACTTCCACCTTCCCGTCATCGATCCCCTGCACGACGCTGTCGTTAACGGCACGGCCTCCGATATCACCGATGGTGCAAGTGCGTCGGAGGTCGCGGATCTTCGAGGGGCTAACCTGACCACCGAGTCGATGTCTGCGGTAAACGCCGGCGACGCGTCGAATTCCACCTTGGTCGACCAAAGGAACTCTTCGAAGAACGTGGCGAAGTCGTTCCTGCTCGACTTGGAGAACGATTCTAACCAGACGGGTCAGTGAACTGCCCACTGTAACGTGCACAGATAGAGCAATACAGCCTGCCCAACCACTGCTAAGAAAGTGCGGGTCTATTGTTTGTTTTGCCACTGCAAGAGTTTACGGCTGTCGCATATATTTTCCGGTTTATAGATGAAGCGGAAGTACGTCACAATCTAATGTGATGGAGCAACGCCCACCTATTTCTTTTTTTTCGAAAGCGGCCGCCTATTCACGGAAACTTCGGCCGTGCAGCCACCTTTCAGTGCAGTCTCGATGATCTTCATTTGAATTATCGAAATAATGGCATAAAATATTGAGTGGTACGTTCCAAGCACAAGGAAGTACCGAGCTGATTGGCCTGTCTCTTTTTTTTTCTTTAATTCCATAGAACTTAAAAGCTCGTTGCATTGGTGGACATTGCAGTGTCGGCATCGGTGTTGTTGGCTGCGAACGAAAAAATTACAGCGTTGTTCTTCAGCGAAAAATCGAGAATGGTGAAAATAACATAACAACATTCGGTTCGAGTGAGAATACAATTACCCAGGCATTCCGTGATGCAAGCAAGTGCTCTACCACAGAACCATGCCATTGTCCGCCTCGATGGGTCAGTGCTAGGGTAGTCAACTGCTGACCCAATGGTCGCGGGTTCGATACCGGCCGTGGCGGTCACGTTTCGACGGAGGCGGAATAGTAGATGCCCGCGTATACTGCATGATATCAGTGCTCGTCAATAAACACCAAATGGTCCAAATTTACGGAGCCCTTCATTATTGCAGGGTTCCTCATTACCGTATATTGTGGTTTTTTTTGAACGGAAAACACCAGATCCGATTATAGCCATGCCTTGAGCTTGAAACTGCTTCAGAAAAAAAAAAAAGCCCTGTATGTGTTATGTAGTGTGAGGAGCCTCCTTTAACGCAGTAAGACGGTAAGTTGGCCCAGTTGGTTAGGATCTATCGTTAACTTATTTACAGCGCAACACCAGAAAAACACAGGACAGGGAAGGAGCAAGAGAGAAAGAAAAGACGGCGCTGTCAGGGAGGTTCGAGTTAACACATAAAAAAGAGCCCTTGATACTATTTCTAGTACCCAGGGCTCTTTATATATTTCTAGTACCCAGGGCTCTTTTACATAGAAAACACATAGTTAACACATAGAAAAGAGCCCTGGGTACTATTTCTAGTACCCAGGGCTCTTTACATATTTCTAGTACCCGGGGCTCTTTTCTATGTGTTAACTCGAACCTTCTTGACAGCGCCGTCTTTTCTTTCTCTTTTGCTCCTTCCCTGTCCTGTGTTTTTCTGGTGTTGCGCTGTAAGTAAGTTAACGATGCCTCCTTAACGCGTGCAATGTTGCGTGTCGGAAGTGCATATAATCACACCTTCAAAACACGTGAATTGCGCACCGAGTGGTTGATTGCGCCCGCCTATTGCAAAGCACGCAATTGTCAGCAACAACATCCACATACAGTGCTGGTTCGCGTGTTGCCTTACGGACGCGCTGTGGGTATACTTCGCCAATTCGCAAAAGGAATTGTGAGCACTTCGCAACTGTGCTTACAGTTGGTATTTTAGTGTAATTTGAAACGGCCCGTGTTACGCTCGGAGACTTTTTTTTCCCTTGTGGCACGATTGAGACATGTTGCGGGAACCGAAGTGCAGCTACACTCTTAGTCAAATCCTGGCTATATAGACTGCACGCCCTCAGACAGGAAGTCAAGTCAAATGATCGCCGTTTCTACGCTGCTCCGTAGCCGTGTCCCAGAGTAACTGGCCCAATTTGAAGTGGCCTTCAGAATAGCCGGGACAAAGATTGTCCTGGATTTTTGGTCAAATTTTGGTCAAAGTGATGTGCATGCACGGGGCCCCGACTATGTTATAGCATTCGTTACTCTTGAAGGCAATGCTCAAGCGTCCTTCAGTGCTTTTTGACCAGCAGGTCGCGGGATCGAATCCCGGCTGCGGCGGTTGCATTTTCGACGGAGGCGAAAATGCTTTAGGCCCGTGTTCCCAGATGGGGGTGCACGTTAAAAGAAGCCCAGGTGGTCGAAATTTCCAGAGCTCATGTAATACGGTGTCTCTCATAATCACGTGGTAGTTTTGTAACGTTAAACCCCACGTATCAATCAACCAATTCTTCATGGCTTCACGTTTATGCTCTACAAGACAAACAGCGCACGCTTAACGAGTACACAGGGAACACGAGGCACAGGTGCTGACTAATAGTTGGAGTTTTATTGCTCATACGCCACAGTAAATACACAGCACGTATCAGCAACAGCAAAGCGCAACAAGAAGAGCAAGGCCAGCATATACATATAAGGCAGTCAGCCAGGGGGAACCATGATTATTTAGCCCCCGATAGAAAAGCTAACTTCTTATCTAACAGGGCCATGGAATGGGGCACTGACGCGTTGTGGAGCAAGTTTTCATATTTGTCGACGATCCTGGAGTGCCGACTGGAAGTGGTACCGTTCGAGGCTACAAATGTGATTGTTTTTTTTTTCATTTTTCACGCATTCTGTGTGCTTTGTCATCTACGAACTGTCAACTAACGAGTGCATACTAGTTTTAGAATTAGAACTGTATTTCAGCTGCATTCGTGAGTGTTGGGGATTCGAGCATCGGGCCAACGAGACTATTCTTTAATTTGGCCCAGTCGAAGCTGGTCAAAGGCCACACCATCAATTCGTGATTCACCGACGAAGTTAAAAAAAAATAGAGCGAGCACAAGCTAGAAGATCACTTTTTTATTCAGAAGTGCCGTCTGTAATACAGCCTGGGTACCCAATAGCTCCCTTATCTTCAATGGTGCACGGAAACAAAGGTAAGGACGAAATGTGCGTGCATAAGAGACAAATATAAGAAGATTGCAGTAATCCCCTACATACACAGTGGCCCGCACAACCCGAGAAAGGTAAGTAAAAATGGGACGTCCCTTTTTCAGTTCTTCACTACTTGTCGAGCGTTTGCAAACAGCTAAATCGAATGGATATGTCACCTGCACCACAAACTAACGCGATCAGTTCGCGCCTTGTCCTTAATTCGGGCGTCGTATATTCCATTCCTTATAGTCTAGTGAACGCACATACGCGAGGCAAATTTACATACGCTTTAATAAAATAACAATGGAAACCAGCAGTTGACGAAGCCAAGGAAGGTATACGAGACATTAATTGCACTCTTTTGAAGTTTATCAAATTAATTGTGGTATATAGGTGAATCTGAACTGATCGAAAAGATAACCGGCCCCCGGCAGGGACAGAAGTTGCAGGCCCATCATCGCGCAGAACGGAAGTTTCGCATTCGCCGCCATGGCTACGAGCGGCGCTGCTGTAGAACTCCCAGGTTTTCATGCACAAAAATACACGATAATATAGACGAGGAGACGACCGCCGCCGTAGCTCAGCTCAAGTTGTAAGAGTATCGGACGCGTAATCCGAAGGCCGAAGGCCCTGCCCGCGGCAAGTTGCCCTTCGTCCACTTTACTTTTTTTGCGTCTGTATTGCCGCACGTGCTCCTTTCTATTTTTGTTACCGGCCCATTACACGTGCAACTGCTGACTTGTGCAAATCATGGCCGAATGACTGGGAATGACTGGGAATCATCCAAATTATTTTAGAACCATTCGCTGAGATTACGCGCACAACACGGACATTATAGTTTGTTCTGGAACTTACGCAGCCGATATAGCAATGACGTTGCAGTCTTCGAAAATATATAAGCGTATGCCAACGCGCTTCACCAACACCACCATGTAGTCTAGGTGGCGTTGGCTTCACCGCTTAACAGATTATCAATGGTCGACGCTCTATTCGCCACTATTATGCTGTGCGCAACGTGCATTGCTTACTGCAGAGTTTTCCGGTCACTGTTTCCCGGCCGCCATTTCGGCCGGATAACGAGTTTCATTTTGGACAGGCCGACCGCTGCATTCGTCAACGTCACGACCCCGCGTCAGTATCACAATTACTACAATGCACTTAAAGCAGTGCAGTTAACGTCCTTTATACCTTCATTGGGATCATTATATATAGGTTTCTATTAAGTTCGCGCGAAACAAAAATACGAACCCTGGGTTGTTTTGGTTTCATGCATTAATGAGATTGTTTAGCGCACAAGTACTATCGGCGTCAAATGGAACCCGAACAGCGGCGAGCCTTTGTGATGGTATAGTGCGTAACCTCCACTTATCACCATGAACAGACACACATTTATGCGCAGAGATGCCGCACAGGATGCACGTGCCTGTCCGTGGTGATAAGCGGACAGCACGCACTATACTATCGCGAAGGCTTGCCGCTCTTTCGGTTTCATTTGACGCCGATAGTACAACGTAACATTAGGAAATTCAGGACGTCTGGGACTCCACTGCCGAAATTCTCTCTTGAATTCAGTAGCACATGCATGCTGCGCAGGTCTTGTGGCTAAATGATTCGAGAAATCATAGAGGCCCAGAAAATCGTGAGCCTAAAAGACAGCTGCGCCAGTACCCATTCCACAACCCATTTAGATATAGAGTCAACACTCCTCTCGGAGGTTGGATAATGTTGGTTCCCTCTCCTTGGCTCTTTTGAATGTCTCGCTCATTTTGTTGCGCTTTCATGCTGATTTTGGTACGTGCTGTATATTTAGAGACCAATGAAGCTTGTTTCCCGGCTTGTTGGTCCATGGTTATAACGCAGGGATAATAATCAATGGGGTTTAACGCCCTGACACCACGATACGATTATGAGAGACGCCGTAGGGGAGGGCTCCGAAAATTTCGACCTGCTGGGGTTCTTTAACGTGCACCCAAGCCTGAGCACACGGGCCTACGGCGTTTGCGCCTCCGCCGAAAATGCAGCCGCCGCAGCCGGGATTCGATCCCGCTACCTGCGGGTCAGAAGCCGAGTACCTTAGTCACTATACCGCGGCGGGGCTACAAGATCAGCTCAAATAGGAAGGAATCAGCGGAAGTTTGTCCTATTTGCTCTGGTTTTGTACCAGAGGTTCTGTGCTGCGTTGTACAAGAGGTTTACACGAGTGGTAGATTTTGTACTATATAAAAGTTTTGTGCTGCAATACGCATCAAATTCAACTCGCCCACCTCTTGACCTTGCCACAAAGCTTCGCGCGAGTTTCGCGTGGTGCCGAACGAGACGCCATACCGTATCTGGTAGCTTCTTGTCGTTGGAAGACATCTTGGGGCACTACTGTTGAGCTGACTGCCTTCCTGGTTGAAACGATGAACCCACAGACGCGCTTGTGGCTGCCATCAAAGCCGAAGGTGTTCCTTTGCTTGGAAAGTATACGTACGCACACGCTCAACCCGGTCCGCTGTGCAACCTCCAGTCTCCAGGCATGCCCTTTGCTGTCCTATTACTCGCGGCCACGAGGCAATACTGCCGTGCTGAATATTGTACCGCTCGTAAACGTCGCGCCAGGCACTTGATATTACTCTGATAAACAGAACAGTCCTCGGCGCAAGCGCGCCTAGCACTTAGTATGTGCAGTGTCAGCAGGTACAGCTCCTTTCTTTTTATCGTGTTTACCGTTTATGGCCCGCGCTGTTAAGGTCTGCTGGCATTCCGTGGCTTTAACGTGGACGGGTTGCGCAGCGCTCTCTAGGGCAGGACTTTGCCTGAATAACACTTGTTAAAGTCCCATCACTACATAATAATGGTTGTTGGTGTTCAACGTCCCAAAACTATGATTTGATTATGACAGATGCTGTAGGTTATTTAAAGAGCATATAAATCGAGTAGTACACCGGGCGCTGGCATTCTCATGTACATGGAGAATTCGAGATAATAAGGGCTGCAGCGCGAGCACGAAGGTGCTAGAAGAAAAGTGAAACGAAAGGCGAGGCAAGGAAAGCAAAGAGGTGTTATCCTCTTTGCTTTCCTTGCCTCGCCTTTCGTTTCACTCTTCTTCTAGCACCTTCGTGCTCGCGCTGCAGCCCTTATTATCATGAATTCCAACCAAGTAGCCCAAATAGCCGTTCTTCTTCAATGGAGAATGCGGCCACCACGACCAGTATTCGATAGCGCAACCTTCGTGTGATCAGTCGAGCGTCGTAGTAACTATATGCCATGTGCACCATGACGGATAGCCGTCCATACATAGAGAGTAGGAAATATGGATTCTCTTATTCAGCCGTGAAAAATGTGCTACTTCAATCAGCTTTTCATTTAAACGTTTGCCTGACTGCTAGACTGATCGCTGAGATTCTACACCAATGCTAACTTTATTTCCTTATTTTCTTTCATGCGAAAGTGAACGTCATTCAAGCCTCGATCATTTTCGCCTCCACCGAAAATGCGGCCGCCACGGCCGGGATTCGATCTCACGACCAGTGAGTGTCTTGCCTTTGAACTCGGCGTGGTTTCATCATCATCATCATCATCATCATCATCATTCATCATTATCAGCGTGACTACGTCCACTGCGGGACAAAGGCCTCTCCCATGTTCCGCCAGTTAACTTGGTCCTGTGCTTGCTGCTGCCAATTTATACCCGCAAACTTCTTAATCTCATCTGCCCACCTAACCTTCTGTCTCCCCCTAACCCGCTTGCCTTCTCTGGGAATCCAGTTAGTTACCCTTAGTGACCAGCGGTTATCCTGTCTACGCGCTACATGCCCGGCCCATGTCCATTTCCTCTACTTGATTTCAACTATGATATCCTTAACGCCCGTTTGTTCCCTATAATCCACTCGGCGGTGTTGTTATGGGGCCCTTTAAAGATTTTTTGTGGTTTTTCAAGACATGCATACAGGCATGTTTTTTTTTTTTCACATTTACGTTTGCGAAAAGCGAACATAGCTAAAAACAGATTGAATATCCCTGCAGACCGCACAGCTTATTCACAGGCTGTTAAGATCGAATCGACCGTTTCTCGTACGGTGCAAATAAGACTCCTATTTCACGCAGCGTGTCGTGTTAATTTACACCCCGGTCCGGCTTTCTCTCGCTACAGTGGTTCCCCATCAGTTCTACCAGTCCACAAGGAGTCCCTGAAATATCCATGCCCCTGTGAACCACTGATCCAGCCTTATTTATTATCCCTATCTCCACCCCCTCTCCTATCTCCAAGCAACGGGCAGGTTAACTACTAGGACAAAGTATAGTTCACCTCCCTACGTTTCCTTTCGCTCCATATCCTCTTCACTATATCGTGAGGTAACGCTTACGTTGGCTGGGAATGACGCATCAACGTTGCCTGAACACCGTGTATACGCATACACAAAAACGCTCCCCCTCGTACATCGTCCTAGAACCTAGACGGCTGCCTTATAGGTCGTACGCTTCTCAGCACACAGATGCTCGCCTTCTGCGGGCACAGCTGTTTTCATAAGCGAGACGATTGCAGCGCGGCCAACGTGCGCGCCGCTCTGTGGTTTTGTTCGACCTCATGACGTGCAGCAGCGCTGTGCAAGCGAGACGCGTATTTGGCGGTAACTTTCGCGCCAAGAAGCGTATACATAACGCTAGGCGGAGCCTGTTTCGCACGATGGTTGCGGCCTATAGAGAATTGGTTAAAAGTACGCACTTATCAGGTGCTTCATCAATGTTTAGCGTCACGTGCACTGTGCACGAAATTGTAAGGTCCTCTGCTCACTTTACTTCGAAAGTATACGACAGTTCCGAAATTGAACTTCAAGTTCCGGCCTCAACAAAGGGACACGGAATATTCGGAAGTTAAAGTACATTTTATTCGTTCTCAAAAAAAAAAAAAAAACAGTACGAGACTCGCGAATTTAGGTACGGTGTGCTAGAAATATAGGTCCCCACTAACGATGTCTGTGGGAAATCTCCCGTACAGAAGTTGGCTCTATATGGCACACGACACATATTCCAATCGCTAATCGCTTCTGAATCGAATAAAATGGAGGCAGGCGCACCCCCTAGTGTCGTAGTGAGCAAACGTCGATGTATATACACAGTGCATCTGTTAGTTTGACAATCTTACACGGGTGACGTGACAGATCATGGGGCCCGATTTTTCGTTGACACCAGTTTGCTAACCCGTATTGAACAACAACAACAACAACAAACAAAAAAAAACACCAAACTGTTTCGCAGGAAAATCAAACAGAAAGAAACACTATTACTGAAATGCAAATGTGTGTGCGCGGACCAGTTTCAATAGCGCCGCACTATTCTCTATGACACGCCATCGTAGCAGCGCGCTAAGAAAACAAAGAAGGGGGGAAAAAAATAAAACGAGAGAAGAGCGGCTTCTCGGGCACGTAGGATCGCAGATGGTTGTGCCGGTGGCGTCGCCGGATCGTCCGTTTGTTGCGTGTGCCTATAGCGCTGGGTGCGTGAAGCCTGCGTGCAAATCGTCGGCTCCGCTAGCTCCAGTTTACCAGAACTTTCTCTGGGGACTTTCTCTCAGCGGATAACCAAACGTGTGTCGGAATAAAACAGTGGTTGTCTGTCTACGATTCAGCTGTACAAGCTAAAGGTCATGGCATACGCTCCGGGTAAGTCTTGTTTACAATATCGAAGGTGGCGATCGCAGCAGCTTATTAGGTCAGTGCAAGGATATATAAGGATATAGGCTCACTCTGCGCCGCCGCTTGTGCCAAATTCATCTTTCTTAATTGACGCTCTGTTCGATTTCGTTCATAGAATGCGTGCATGGCAGAGTTGCACGAATTGTGGCATATAATTATCTCCGAGACATGCAACGTGACATTTCTCCATTGCTCCTTTTTTTTTATTGGGCTTAACGGGGGAATTCAGCTTATCTCATTTCAACTTTCAAGGACACAGATTGCGTAACGTGTACAGCAGGGACGTAGACTGGAAAGTTTTTCGGCAAGAGGGGGTGGGGGTGGTGCACCTTTTTTAAGTGGTCATATTTTCGGCCCAGTATGCCATAGCAAAAAAAAATTAAGGGGGGGAGGGGAGCATGGGCCTGGTGTAAAACGTGTAACGGTCAGCCGGCCGCGGTACGACAATTGCGTAACAATGAGCGGTAGATGCAGGCGCCTATAAATCAATTCTTTGTTCTTGGTAAAAAAAAACAGTGCAGCTGAGTGCACTGTGCGTCTGATACGGCGTTTATCCGGCTTTCGAACGTATAACGAAAGGAACAGCTGCGCCAGAGAACTTGCTGGGGATGGGCGTGCATGCCGATTTGTTTAGAAATGTAGAAGTCAAAACAAATGAATCACTACGAACCTGAGCGCCACTTGCTGGGCGTGGAGCAGAGGTGTGTCCAAAACTTTTTTTCGGAGGGTAAGAGCGGTGGTTGTCATACTTATATGTGTAGAAATAGAATCGCATTTGTCTAGAGCAGCGGAGCGCATGGCTGTCGACGCAGTTACGCTTCACGTTAGCTGCAAGCTTCCGTTTTATTACTATAGCAATTATATAAACACACTCGGCTGGATTTTGCCGCCAGCGTCGGCGTCGTTGACCGTATATGCATACATACCGCAGCAATATGAAAACGCAAGAAAGGAAAAGAATCCTGAAAAAAAAGACTCCGGCGCACGGAATCGTATGTCTGCCCTCTTGCTTGTAAATGCGAGGCGTTAGCCACTGAGCCACAAAGGAGTACCTCCTTGAGCCATAGAGAAATAACAAACACGTTCTTTCTCTATGCTCGAACGTTGAACCGGCAAGCTATTGATGTCTACCACTTGCCGCTGACAATAGGCATCTCGGAGGAACTGTCGTGTTTTCAGCATTAAAAGCGAGAAGGCACAAAGGGTGCGCGTCGCCTAAGGTCTCTATCTAGCATGGAGGAAGGAAACAACTTAGGAGAGGCCCTGACGTCACTCGTTGTTAAGCCGTGGTGAAGTCGGAAGTCGACCATATTGACTGGGCAAATTCTCCTCTCTTGTTTACATCCGAATGTAAAGCTCGGAAAGCACGTGGTCTGCGCAGCGCGCGTGTGTCCTGAGTGTCCTGGGCGGTACTCAAGAAGCAATTTCGCAGTCCTGGGGGAAAACATCCAACAAGCATGTGTTTCGATCTTCGATTGACAACTGTAAATCAAGTGATCGCAGCTGATCATTCCACGGCGATTCGCGTGTAAATGTCAAGTTTCGCCCTTTTACGTGTTTGTCAACGAATTCTTATATTCGAAAAATAAAACATGGAAACGCTTACTGCCTGTCGTACGTGTCTATAGTTATAAAACCTTAGCGATACGCAGTAAAGTTGACATTGGCTTACGAAATGCTGCAGTTACGAAGTATTACGGTCTATTTTTTGAAGACGGCAGAGCAGTCATATATTGATCTTGCAACCCAATATATCAATTCATTTACCCTTCAAACTGCGCCATCCCTACACCCATTGTATAAGATAGTATGCCGATCGCTCAAAACGGCTAACGGTCTCCGTAATGTTTTCGTACCTTGCAATATCGGAATACAACGGTAATGAGAAATATGCGTTCCCTGCCGCAGCCCCGAACCCGACCGTGGTGGTGGTGCCCCAGCAGTCACTCACTGCCACGCCGATGCAGATGCGCTGCCCGCACTGCGGCCACGAGATCATGACGCACACAAAGAAGACGGTTGGCCTGTGCACCTACATTATGGTTGGCGTGTGCTGCTTCTTTTGGTAAGTAACGCCACCTATTGATGCGATAGCGGTGGAACTCGTTCCGCAAAAATTCCGGCGTCGGCGTCGTTGGCAAGTAAAGAAGAAATGATCATGTTGTTCCTGGTCGAAAAATTGACGAAAAAAACAAGGAAAACAATGATAGTTTTTGGGTCTGAGTGAGGATTCAACCCAGGCCGTCCTCGTGGAAAAGAAGTCTTCTGCCACACCAACATAGGATTTGTTGAAACTACTTCTGATTTAAAAAAAAAACACTACATGAATGCCGTGCAGTGGTAGAAGACTCGACGCATATATATAGTATAGAGTGGCAAAAGCTAGAATAGCGCGCCAGGCGTCAAAACGTGTGAACTGCGCGACGGGTGAGTGTTATAAAGGCCCAGCACTTAAAGCCGCGGAGCCGAACCGTGAGAGTGAAATAGCTATAGAAGAATGAGGATGGGGTGGAGAACATTCGGCAAGCATTCTCAAATCGTGAATGGTAATCTGCCGCTAACCCTCAAGAGGAAGGTGTGTAACAGCTACATCTTACCGGCATTTTTCGATATACCTGACGCCGATCGGCGTGAGGTAAATTATATTTATATTATTTGCGCATTTATAAGACATGTCATGATTCATCCCGTAACCCAACAAAAGAGCCCTGTTCAGTCCTCACCGTCGAAGCTTAATTGGCTTACGTCATCAAGACGGTTTGGCTCGCACTATCGTAAAGTGTTTTTCGTCCCCTTTCATTCATTTTTGCATGCGTCATTATTAATACACTATAGTTAAAAACTGCAAATACTGTGTCCTTAACTTAACTTAGCTTCACTGTTTGTTAGCTTCATTGGGTTGCGTTTTACGCAGAAACGAGCCGCCTTGGTCTATTTTCTTTCTTTCTGTGTTCAGCACTCAAGCATTCTTTGAGGTTCATTTTAGTTCTTTGTGAGTGTAAAACAGAGTGAATGCGAATGGAGTGCAAGCCGTAATTCTCTTTAAAGAAGAGGCACGAAATGTGCCCCGTAAATGCCTTTATTCAAGAAGTGTCTCCATTCCAGCGCCTCTATAAGCACCTTCGTCTCTTTGGTCTTGGTCTCTGCACACGTATAGAAGTGGCGAGGACCCACACCAGACGCGGACGCAAAACACTTTCGGGCACAGGTGTGCTGGGGGGGGGGGGGAGTCGCCCTCACCCTATAATCACCTATGATTTCCATTTTTTCTATTGTATATGCGGTCACTTTCTTGTTGTTGTTGTTGTTGTTGTTGTTGTTGTTGTTGTTGTTGTTGTTGTTGTTGTTGTTGTTGTTGTTGTTGTTGTTGTTGTTGTTGTTGGCATTCTTCTCTGAAACAACTTTGTGCTCGCGTGTGCGCAGCTTACCCTGCTTCTGGGTGCCGTTCGTGGTGGACGCCTGGAAGGACACCACGCACAGCTGCCCCAACTGTCACATCACGCTGGGAGAACGACGGATGGTGTGAAAAGCAACGGGCCGCGGCCAACGCCACAAACAGGAAATGGCGCCGACACTCGCGCCGCTTTTGTTGCACCACTTGGACGATGACCGACCACCACGAGCAACGGAAGCGGCACCGACGACAGCGTCTCGGCCCGCCAACCTCGCGCGAGTTCGTCTCGTTCACGTGCGAGCGGCCCATATAGTGGACTCTTCGCGTTTAAGTGCGAATGCTTGTTCGCGCTGCCGTATTCATCCGTCTTTATCTTCACTCGCACCCATACCAATACATCGAGACAAGTATTAATTCGAGTAGCAGGCCTGCCTTGTTGCTATCCTAAGTAGCGCTATAAAAATGAGGATGGACGTAAGCACAACGCGTTTGAATCTCAATCCTCATTAACGTGCGCGCAGAAAAGCGGGGAGGAGGATGCTCTCTTATTTACCTCATGGGCGACGCAAAGTTGTCCCCATATAACGTCACCCAGGCGGACGTGTCCTTTCTTTGTTGAGAGAGCAGGGTTATGACCACGGTGGTATTTGGCAATAATGGCTGTCGAAGACCCACGGTGCTATACTACCAGCTCTACTTTCAGAATGCACGTGGGGCCAAAGTCAGGCGACGGTGAAAAGTACAGGTTGAGTCAAAAGTCCCCAGGCCAATATCCCATGTATTCCTATGGGAGCATGGCCTGGGAACTTTTGATCCCCACTGTACATGCCCGACCACGATGGTCTAGTGGCTAAGGTTTACTCGGCTGCTGACCCGCAGGCCGCGGGATCAAATCCCGGTGGAGGCGGCGCTTGCATTTTCTATGGAGGAGGAAATCCTGTAGGCTCGTGTGCACTGATTAGGGTGGTCCCCAGGTGGCCGAAACTTCCGGAGCCCTCCACTACGGCGTCTTTCATAATCATATGGTGGGTTTGGGACGTTAAACCTCACATATCAATTAATCAATTAATTAATCAGTTATCAATTCATTTCAATGTTTTCGTCGTTTTGAAGCATGTTACTTTGGACCAACGTGGAGGGGAGCAGGGAAGGCACGATTGCACTCCCGCCCCCCCTTCCCCCTACTCCCCTGCGCACTACCATGCCCATGCTTGTCTTATTCTGGTTTCAAATCTCTACACGACAGACTTACTAGCCCGAATTTCACGTTATTACACCTGTAATTTTGTTTTTTAAAGAAACAAATAAAGAAACGACGGTCGTTTTTTTCTTTGTTATTATTTTTATTTATTTTTTTGTATCACATAGAATCCACACTTGCACAAGACACCAGGAAAAGTAGCCGTGCACCTCATGTATCTCTAGCAGTGAACTTGTGCGCTGTACATTTTGCGTGGCACTGTTTTTACGAGTACGTATGCCATCGATAATGAAGATGTGTCACCTATCAAAACATGTTGCTTGTGTACTAGGTTAACTGGGTGATGAAAGTGGTGACGACACAAGCCAGGGCAGGAGGAAGTCAGGATGGAAAATTCAGGACGGGAAAGAACATTTTTCCCTGTCCTGACTTCTGTTATGGTTGCTTCCTGATTAAAGCCCCTGAAACTTCGCAAAGTATGTGAAACAATGAAAAAAAAAAAGCCTGCGCTTAATGCAAAAGAAAACAAAGAAAAAAGCCCGCGCTTAATGCAAAAGAAAACAAAGAAAAAAAAGCTCGCGCTGTTATTCGCGCACCTCCTCTCTTTTCTCCCTCCTCCGATTTCTCCGAGGCCGGCGTCGCATCGCTATAGGCCAGATTCCGTCACGTGAGACTGCTCTTCGTTTGCTTACAGTAACTCGCGACTACCATCTTTGCTCTCCAGGCGGAGTGGTTCTTGAGAGAGAAAGGAAGAGAAAAGTAAGCCCCGTTATTGTCTGCTTCAGTGAGCGACACCGCCACAGAGCTCACAAAGGGATGGGGGTAAGGAGGGATAAAAGGGTAGAGGTAAAAGTATAGGAAAGAGGAAGAAGAAGCAACAACAAACTGAGGGGATAGAAGAGACAGGAAAGATGGAAAAACGGTCACTGGAGTCCGAGGACGGGGTACACTTGCGAGAGATGGTGTCGGCGTCTGTAGATGGCGTAGAGCAGGTCCAGTAGGTCAGAGCTGCGCCGACTCCTTGGGGTACAGCACAACTGTTTCGACGGATACGAATTTGTCCTTCCACGCGCGTTGTTTTGTGAAATACTTTTCACCCAATAACGACGCCACTGTTCGTTGCCGTGGGTGGTTGTCGCGCCTTGTAAACAAGTCTAGCGACGGCCGAAAACTCTTCATGACACCGCCCATTTAGCGAAACGAGTTGCGACCAAAGACGTGGTTGCAAAGAATCGGAAGTGAGAACTTCACGTCCACATTTTCGAATCCAGCTGTGAGAAATAAGTTTCGTGTCTGTCACTATGAGTATGGTTCGATGTTTACTCAATTTAATGCCTTCTCTAACGCCGTAGACAACTCGCAGTTGCATGACTTCGCGATCTCTCAGTCTGGTTTCATTAACGCTTCTGCAGGGGCAGGTTTTATTTATTTTTTTTCAACAATACATGCTTACGTGTTCTGCTTGTCGTTATGCGCCGATTGGTTTGAGTTCGCGGTACTGGTCTGCGAGCTTACCAGGTACGCGGTGAGACGCTCGAAATTGTGATTGCGAAACTTCAGAGGTTTCGCGTTGCTGTTCTGAATAAACAAAACTGGAGTACTGCAACTCGCATCAATATTGATACTCTCCGTTGGTTTTTTGCTGCGTGCTCGTATATTTCGGACCGAATTGCTCTCTGCGGCTCTTTTACGTTGACCGATCAGCCGGGGGAGTCGCGATGTGAGGGCAGCTATGCAAAGCGTACAGGCCTTCAAGTCACTGGATGCGTGCATCGTTGAGGAACCTCACACATACGAGCCATTTCCCGTGATAGTTCATTAGCTACTTCGTGAGAAGGTTTATATCCGCGAGTGTATCTCTCGCGTAGTCATCGCGTATGGTGGCACGCTATAGTTCATTCATACGCTCGCTCATTCTTTCAGCGATATATTTCGTATGTGAGATACGTCCAGAAGGCGCACTTACGAAATATGATTGGTGCTCTAACAACTTCACGAAACAAGCAAAGCTGTTCGGATATATCAGTCTATGAATGGTGTACGCCTTCTGACACACAAATGCCTCACCAAACGCTAAAATTGGCCGTCGGCGACATCGCCGTCCCGCGTGCACAGCGTCAACGCGAGTTTTTGTTTCTACTGCGTAGCAGTCATTGTGAATGATCTGTGCACATACTCTATATACGAAGCTTGCACAGTCAATGCGCTGAGTAAGGAAAGACAGTCGAACTGTCCCTTCGGGTGCTATCGCGCCAGCTAATAAATAGGTTAGCCACAGCAGTCGCACACGAACATCTGAGCGATGTTATTTCCAGTGCAAAACTTACTCGGAGACGCGCTAAACGATGGCCAGGAAAAGACGGAGGTTCTCACTAACTATCACATTTTTTTTTCTTGCGTTTAGGAGCATACATGCGAAGGGACCGTGGTGCGCACAGAGTTAACAACTGGCCACTGCGACGCCGAGCGACTCGATCAAGGACTGATCACAAGTACGCGTTGCGCATGACACTAAACACAGCTGATATGGGCTAACGCTACACTTGATAAGATAATTTTAGGATGAGTTGGACGACTGGCGTGAATGCTCTCAGCGCGCTGCCTGCCGAGCAAGTGCTCCATTCGCGAAAGGACATCTGTTACGCAGGAGCAATGCAGGTGGCGCCACGTCCGAAATGCGAGTGCAAAGAAGAGGAGATCGAGGAGAAACGCGAGCAGAGGAGGAGAGTGCCGCAACATTGCGAAGTTTTAGGGGATTTAGTCGTAGTAACTTTGCTGAAGAACCAGAACGTGCGCTTTCACTCAGCTTTATTATGCTAATATTGTTCACCAATTGATGTACGTTACAATGTGTGAGGGTCAGTTTGGAGATCATCGACAGGACTGTAGTTACATATAGCGGAAATTTATTTGACTACGTACACTTCGATGACATCTTTCAGTAAATCTCGTGGTCATTTACCTGTTCACTTCTTTCGCCGTATTCAACCTACATTGAATGTGACAATCTTGCTATTCGTGTGTTTGTGTGTGTGCGTGCGTGAGTGTGTGTGTGTGTGTGTGTGTGTGAGTGATTGAGTGAGTGAGTGAGTGAGTGAGTGAGTGAGTGAGTGAGTGAGTGTGTGTGTGTGTGCGTGTGCGTGTGTGTATGTGTGTGTGTGTGTGTGTGTGTGTGTGTGTGTGTGTGTGTGTGTGTGTGTGTGTGTGTGTGTGTGTGTGTGTGTGTGTGTGTGTGTGTGTGTGTGTGTGTGTGTGTGTGTGCGCGCGTGTGTGTGTGTGTGTGTGTGTGTGTGTGTGTGTGTGTGTGTGTGTGTGTGTGTGTGTGTGTGTTGCGAGAAGGCAGCGGTCATACACATCCCGTTCATAGACAAGCTTATGGCGTAATTCCGTATGCACCACAGGGGACCAGCCAGTACCCTTTCTCTCTCTCCTCACTACAGCGTGCCAAGGTCACATTTTCCGTTTGTGTTTCCGTCGCACGCGGTGCCACTCAGAGCTGTGCAACCCTTTGTAAACGTACGCCCGTTTAGCCTTTCCCGGCCAAATCCGTGCCCTTGAAGCGGGGCTGACACACATGTGGACGAGCGGATAGCCTGCATTGCGGCTCGGGCGACACTGGGCGAGTATATCGCGACCTCGGTGCAAGCCTTGAGCGAGGCTGTCTGCTGTCGTTGATAGGAGCTAGGTCAGGACGCAGCCTCGGACGGTTGCGAAAGCGCAAGTCCATACATGCCAAAATCGACGACGGATAGGTACTCCAACACAACACCTTAGGTCACACTCACATCAACAACATTTCTGGTTGTGCTCCATCTAGATATTTTGCAATGAAGAACCAACGAAACATTTATTTATTTATTTATTTATTTATTTATTTATTTATTTATTTATTTCGTAACAGCACATAATTATTTTATTCCTCCAAAAGGCGAGCCGAGTCGGACTAGAACGCAAGGAATTCGATCCATTGTCATTGAAGGCATGTATGGAAATCAGAGGGGTGAATTCAAGCAGATTATTTCACCGTCTATTTATTATCGATCATCAATAGACGGTACAGTTTGAATTAGTCGAACCTCGGCCATTCTGTCGCTCGAGGGCACTGGTTCGATACGTGCCATAGACTCACTCTATAAAGGTAGCATGTAGAGTAACTCTAACCGGCCAGAGGGCCGCGTCATATGAAACAAAACAAATCGGGACAAAAGTCGTTTTTAAGCACACGTCTTATGAGGCACAATCACATCGCTAAAGAGAGCCGCAATATATATATATATATATATATATATATATATATATATATATATATATATATATATATATATATATATATATATATCTTGTCACTATGCCACAGGTGTGACGTGAATGCGGAAGCTATCTCCTATTTTGCGCTTCTGGAATAAGTAGTCGCCCCCAACATCACTTGTTCCCACGCACAGCATGCGGTCCCTCTCCCTCGAGTTGGAAACTCCGCGCATGGGAGAGGAGACCGCAGAGAGGGAAGAAGACTTCCGCATTGCGTCCTCGGCCCGCTTTTCCTCGGAGTCCCCAAACCCCGAGGGTCGCGTCCCCGGCACGGTTACCCCAAGCGCCGGCGACCCACTTCGACGCCCTTGACCGCACCGCCGCGCAAGGCCAGCGCCTACAAAGACTGGTCAAGGGCAGCGCCGCAACTGGTCAAGGGCTCGCGAGCACGGCTCGAGGACGAAGCATTTCGCGGTCACCGTCGCCATGGTGACGCGTCCCTTTATCTCGCCACGCTCTTCCTTCTCGTCGTCTCTCTACATCCGAACAGATGGAGGGATCTCACCAGAGTGTTCCCCTACGAAGAGAGTGGTTTCCTAACGCCACCTAGCTAGCAATCTTTGTTTGACTTTTTTTTTTCTTCTCTTGTCTGTGTTTTTCTTTTTTCTTTCTTTTTCTAACAGCCTTGAAGTTTGTCAATATTGTTATTCATCGGTCTTGCAAAAAATGTCACTATTTTTTCTTTTCTTTCCTCTCCCGTATTTACAGCCACTCTCTAGCAATTTTTACTACGAGTCCCTTTTTTTCATTCCTATATTTAAAGCTTAGCACCAGGAAGATGTTATTGCGAATAACTTGGTCCTCGTTTACCCGGATAAACGTTCTAAAAGCAGTGTTGGATTTATTAGCATTGCCCATGGAATGATCGACTCTACGGATCAATGTGAAGGAATAGTTATTCTTCCACCGAATCCAAGATGCTATATGACGCCTACGTGGCAGCAATGTAGGCTCCCTAAGATGCTACTTGCCGCCGCAGCATTCCACGTGAGCAATTCAAACCTCTCCCAGCATCCTGCGATATTTCCAATCAAAGTGGACGGTTGGTCCAGTTGGCGATTTATGATCGATTCATGGGTGCTTTATGATGCGGTGCCCTTGTCTACTTATCGTCCGTGTTTTCTACCACGCAGTATATATACATCGAGCAAGATTTCCACGTTATCTTAAAAATGTCCTCCGGCGCTATCAATCATACATGCTGTCTTTTTAAGGCGGAAGCCTCAAAGATACCTCACCAAACGTGAAAACTGACCGGCGTCCCACGTCGCCGTCTACCGTCGGCGGCGTCAACATGGTGATGCAGAAAGTCGTCACCACGTGATGACATCACAATATGACGCCACAAATCGACCGAATTCGTTACATTACGGAGTCATCGTGACGTCAAAGTGACGTCATGTGGAGGAATACTCCACATCATGACGCCATCACGTGACATCGTAACTCGGTCAAAGGTGGGCCGGGCGTATCACAGAGGCTGTGCAAAATTAGGTGAGATGCTCCTGGAGCCAATGCCGAAGAACATCAGGTGCAGCAAACTTTCGGAAGGTGTCGGACGGGGCAGGAACAATCGACTGAGGAGATAGCTTTAGCTTTCCAATCGTTCTAAGTGAGTGCGTAACAGACACCAAGTTTTCAAGGGGGAAATGGATGTCTGATCTGTCTTCAATTATTATTATTATTATTATTATTATTATTATTATTATTATTATTATTATTATTATTATTATTATTATTAGCTGCTTTACTTTCACCAATACAGCATCGATGAATCGGTGAGAATAAAAGCCATTACCCACTTGATTACGTTCCCACCACCCTGTGCACATAACGCAGCATAAGCGGTAGCAACATGCAGAACGTAAGACGTGGCGAAGACACAACACCAACTAAAATAGTAAATAATAGTAAACACAAGTGTTTCCGACACACTGCAGAATATGGTGTTGGCAAGAAAAATGACGATACGCACACGTATATACGAGCACAGATCGAAAGTCTGAATACATAAATTGCAAGTACTAATATAATTACAAACGTATGTTCGTACGTGCATGTGTGTTTGTGTACACAACATAGAAAGAAAAAAAAAACGACACGGGCGACGCCTACTGCTCAGAAGGGTGGCAGCTTGAGCTAGTTGGCAGTGTGGCGCTATAACTGGCAGTATGGCAGTATGGCGCTATAACTATCGTCATGCCTACTGCTCGTCCGTGCTGAGAGCATCATTTTTGCTATGAAATGCTCGCCACGTTTTTCGGCAAACAAATTTTACAGCGCGATTGGGTCGTTTGTCTCTTTGATTGAAGGTTGTGTAGGTGAACGCACAGTGTCTATCAATGATTTATTATTAGACGAAATACAATTAAGGCACGTTCGTTATTTATTGTCATTTTAAGACGAGCGACTTATGTATGTGCGTTTTCAGCCAGATTCATGAAGTGTGAGCAACGAGAGCTTGGTGAAGTATATAGGCACACGGATGATTCTCTGCTGGTAAGTGATGTCTAATTATTAGCGGTATTTCCTTGATTATTTCCAGTCATTTTCAGTTCATCTAGTACAGCGCTGCACAACATCTAGATTTTATGATACAGACGATATGGACTTTCATATTCTGTTTCGTTCACGTATGCGTCCTCTATGTATAACACACTTACCTCAAAGAGTATTTACTAAGAGTGTTTAATAAATACATTACAACTAACGCTAATTACGCGGGTAGCTTGTGCATCTTGGAGTAGACGCCAAAAAACACAATTGTCGAAATCTGTTTGAATTAACGGCACTTTTTATGCACGCTTATAACGGAAGCTTGGCGAGTTCCGAAGTTAGGTGCAATGCCTGGACCTTTTTTAACTACTTTGCACGAGTAAACATGATCATACACTTGACGTTCAGCGCGAAAATACTATATTCAGATACGTAGTCTAATCTGAAATATGTTGAAACAGTATAGATTTTCGGATAATTAAAAGGGCTCTCTTTGAAAGCGATCGTCATTATGTAGCTCCAATATAAGCACGAGTGGCGAGCTTAGGTGGTGGGGAAGGAGGAGGGTGTTCAATAAAACACCATCTTATTTCTCATTTATTTATTCGCTTTAGAGTATGTAATTAAACATGCACACAGTTACACAAAGCATCCGCAGATATTCTGAGCCACGTGGCCTCGTTTCCCATGACTAAGCTTCTTTGTATCTAAGAGTCGACAGTTTTAGGTTAGCGTACGCAGAGTTAGTGTTCATTGCCCCGCCGCGGTGGTCTAGTGGCTAAGGTACTCGGCTGCTGACCCGCAGGTCACGGGATCGAATCCCGGCTGCGGTGGCTGCATTTTCGATGGAGGCGGAAATGTTGTAGGCCCGTGTGCTCCGACTTGGGTGCACGTTAAAGAACCCCAGGTGGACGAAATTTCCGGAGCCCTCCACTACAGCGTTTCTCATAATAAATACGGTGGTTTTGGAACATTAAACCTCATATATCAATCAACAGTTAGTGTTCGTTGTGTACGATGCGTTATCTTCGTAACTTCGTCGGTGTAGTCAAAATGATATCGTATGATGCATGCGCCGGGGCAAAAAGAAAAAAAAACGATAACGCAAATATTTGCGAGCCCTATTCTAAAATTGCCTAATGAAGAGTTTTAAAATTGGCTTACGTATGCACGCTTTTATACGTTCCTTTGTACTACCAGCCACACCCAAGGAGAATATCAAGTAACACAAAGGCTTGAGTACGCGAGGCACTTTGTGACCCGGGCACTAAAGTTCCCAATGACACCAGAACTTGTGCGCGTATGCAGACATTCGCATGTACTGAGTCTGGTAACAAATGCCACTGAGACGGAGTGTGCGGCCACTCTCAACCACGAGATATCATATGGTGCTTCCACCCAAATCCTTCAGTAAAAGTAGAGTCTAGAATACATAAACACACACAACACACACACACACACACACACACACACCACGGCACACCTCACATGTAGGGAGGTGCTGGTTCGCCCTCCGAAACGATGCCTAACAGTTCGCGGCGCAACAACTTCCCGCGCAAAACTTCGTTGCGCCGCTTCTGGTTCACCAGCTCCGTCTCGGCTTCGAGGAGTCTACGCATCTGCAACAGAATGTCCACTCGCAGGTCCCGCTCACGACTGTCCGCACTGTCGGCGGCCATCTTGAGCACCTCCACCAGACCCGAACGGTGTCCCCCAACTCCCGCCGAGAGACCGTACCCAGAGTCCAAGCGCGACCGCTCTTCCACGACCTCAGGGATCGGCAACGCACAGCCCGACGCCGGAGGCCATCCCGCTTCTTCGTCCACGTCATTGCCGTCGTAGTCCGAAGAGTCGTCGACGTACTGGGAATCATCGGGGGCTGCGGCAGCAACAGTAGCAGCTGTCTCGTCGTACGTTGCCCGAGATGAGCTCCGCTGGTCTGAGTGGCTGCCAGTACTGCTAGCACGAAGCAGCAGGCTGTGGTCTACAGCAGTTGGGACATCGGCGATTACGTCAGGTACGTGTGTCTGTGCCGTCGCTTCCGCGTAGGCGCTTACGTAAGGCGTGGTCCCTTCTTCGGGAGTCTCTGGCGAGCACGGTTCTGATTTGATGACCACGTGACGACTGTCGACCTTTTCACTGAGAATCTGACTAGAGCACACCTGCTCGCCCTGCTGCTCGGACACATCCTGGTGCTTGGAATTCGTGTATGTGTCGATTGTCTCACTAGCACCAGGTGTAACTTCTTCGTAGGCGTCCAGATGGAACCCCGTGTGAGGAGAAGGCTCTTCGGCATCGTGCACCCTGCTGACAAACACAGGGGGAAGGCTTCGCGTAAACACCCAAGCTTAAAGTTTGCTACAAGTATTGCAAAGTATTTAGGACTTCATGATCCGTTAATAATAGCGATTATTGGAAGGCATAGCTGACAGTAGCGGCGGTGTCTTAAGTGAACGCCATTAAACAGATCATTGTACAATAATTTTTGTGTGATGCAGGTAGACAATCACGTCTAGAAATCGCGAAACAAATTACCTGGTCATTTTTATTGTTGCACTATCCGGAGAAGACCTTGCGAAAACATATCGCGTTCGTAATGATCAAAAGCGAAATTAAAGTGGTAGGCAGATTATCAACAACGAAATTAAAGTGGTAGGCAGATTATCATCTGTGGATGTCCAACCACTGACCAGCAATAGACACGTCAGTACAGAGAAACAATCGAGACAAGAAAGGACACGCATACGAGATCCTTCAGGTCAAGCGAGGAACCATGGGCTCTTTCAACTCTACCAACTTGGTTACGGCGACGTTCGTCACTTCGGCTGGCGACGAGGATTTTATATGGCAAGTGAATTGAGACTTCGGAAGCCGCTTCTGAATCAGTGCAAATATGTTCCGAGTATGAACGGGCTACAAATGAAATCGCTAGGAAAACATTCATCGTGACAACTAGAACTGCTACAGTGATGGCACGGCAATTCTGTCTGTATGTGTACCATGGCCGCTCAATGGTGCTCGTGGTGTCTTCCCCTGTCCGTGTTGCTCAATAAACTTCCGTGCGTACAAACTAACTTGTCTAAGAAGACGTATTGCTGCATAAAACTTGACTTCTCTTCGCTATTGTAACAACGTAATGATGTGTACTAAACAGCTTCCCCGTTTCTCCATTAACTGCTTGGCACCACATAACAATTCGCCTCAACAAGATTAGCCCCTAATATTTTTCTTTAGCACCGAAGCTCTTTTTAGTTGAGCTTTTCGTGTCCGGCGGCCGTCGTACAACTTCCCACGACACCAATACTACTTCCCACCACTTTTCCCACTCCGTTCAAGTCACACTTCATTCACCCAGCTAAAATAATTGACGAAGAGGATGGGTCTTTGTAAGCTACCACCTTCGTTGTTTCATAATGCAGCGCCAGTTAAGCGGAACTGGCTTAATTTTTTTTAACGCGATAAAGCTCGTTTCACGGAAATTCCGGCGTCAGCGGTTGCGAGCGAAAAATCATCTTTCCTGACCGAAAAATCAAGAGAGGTGCAAATAAAATAAACAAGAAAAAATTCTGGCTCTGCATGGGGATCGAACCCGGGTCGTTTTCATGGCAAGCTCGCGTTCTACAACACGGCCATGCCTCTTTTTTTTTTTTCAAATGGCTCTCCACCTAAAAAACATTTACGACGAGCTGGACTTTAGACCGGACTGGTACTCCGTCTTAGAGAACTGTTTGAGCTCACCCCTTTTTTGTTTGTATAACACGATGTGAAGAACTCTCCATGTGAGGAACTCGCGCTGTGTTAGCCATTTAGTGTTTATGAGTAACGCTTGAACGCTTACTTTCGCGATTTGATTGTACTTTTGTTCGCTTGATTTTGTCTTTATTGCCCAAGTACTTTAATAAATACCATGAAAAAAAAACACGGCCGCGCCTCTTTTTATTTCCCTTTATATACACAGCCACGCCTCTGCTTGTGAAAACAGTGAAAATAAGTTCGTCGTTTTCGAAATTTGGTGAACGGTAACTTCTATGCTTTACAACCAAACGCGTCCTGTACACATGCTTCACCATACAACACGAACTGTTGCCGTAACACTGCGTAGTAAAAGCGTACATTGCCATTGGGCGTCAGAACAAAGGATTACCGCAATGACTTTACAGTTTAAAGTCAGTCGCCCATAACGAAAGGCGCATACGCTACTGCACCAATGATGCTCAAGGTTCAGCGTTCATACTTGTGCGATTGTCAATTAAAAAGCAATCATTGCGCATATCTGAGGCATCATGACAACACGTCAACATTATATACGTGTATTTCTTACTAGAAATGGTATACATAAGTAATTTTAAGGATCGTAGCCTTTATAACGCTGCGCTGGCCATGCAACGCTTGCGCGAAACGGCAAGCGTTTCCAACGCTTTGCTAAGATGACACGGTGGTGGCACCTACCGGTCGCCTTGCGTTCTACACTTTATCACCTCAGAGACGGGTGCGCACGGCGCGCACCCCATTTTCCAGGATAACTGCCAGATAGCGCTCATGTCTCACGTGTGACGTGACTTGATGCACTCGTTCGCCTCCACTGCACGCTCGAGGCACTCTAACGAAGCACCTCCAGAATACCATTCAGCGATTTTCTTGCGCAGAACATCAAATAAACCTTTTGTTCACTCTCTCCAGACGCAATACTATCGTCTTTCGACGACATTTGCTGTGTAACATGCAGAAACGGGGCCACTTTTTTTTTTTTTTGCTATCACACCATGTACCCGTAGCCACTTTCCTCAGCAAGAGGCAACCAAGTGGCTTTGAAAGATGAAAAAGGAAGAAAAAAGCGCTGTCCCGTTACTGCCTCTCTTAAACGAGGGCACCTCCACAGTTAAGCGCAGGGAAGGGGGGCGGGGGATGGGAATTAAAGAGACAGAAGAAAAGAGGTAAGAGTAGAGTGGTGAAAAGCATTCGATCAAACGCGGAAAGCGCGATATACAGAAAGGCCTACCGAGAAGCCGGGGGTGAGGAAATGCGCCCGTCAAGGGGTGGGGAGAGAAAAAAAGAGAGAGAGAAATAAAAGAAACCACTAGACAAGTGGCCTCCCGGCTTCCTTGTACAGACGAGTAGCAGAAACACGCACTTGTCGGACTCTGCGACCGCGGCATTGGGCTGGTGCGTGTGCTGCGACGGCCCAACGACCAGGTGACCGTCGTGGGTGCGGCATCGTCCAGGACAGCTGACGTACACGCAGCGCCAGAAGAGCAAACCTCCGATGCGATTCTCCAACACGTACCGGTGGTCACCGATCTTCCTCGCGGGCTGCGTGACACCAGAGACAAGATTCGGAGCGCGTCAAAGTTCTCGCACGCCTCCACTACGCTTTGCACGTGGGGTTTGGAGCGCTGACATAAGATGGCGAAAAGGCCAAACCAGTAGCAGACGGAGCCGTCTGCTACATCCACGGAGCAAGAAACACATTGGCTTCATTTCACGCATGCGCCTTCGCTCTATGGCACCGAAACACTCCGATTGGCCCAGAGGGATGCTACAGACTCTCCGATTGGCTTAAAATTCCACGATTACAAAATTTTGCAACACGGCGGAATTTGACAGTGACTACAATGGAATAGCAACCCATGAGCACTCACCTGGACGCGATCAAGTAAAGTTTGAACTCTAAAAAACGTTTTATGGCGCTATATTTTTCGGAGCAACCAAGATTCACCACCGAGTGGCGTTGTGGATAAGCTCAAGAGAGAGAAGAAAAAAAAAACACCTCTAAAAAAAGTTTTGAGGGTTGTATCTGATGGCAACTTAACCCTTCACTGTCGGATGTCACCAACTCGCGACATTTATTTATTTATTTATTTATTTATTTATTTATTTATTTGAAATACTGCAAGCGAACATTTTGGCTCAAGCAGGCTGGGTGGGCTTCACGTACAATGCAAAACTAAATAAAAAAATAACGCTATAGACGAATACAAGAACCAAAACGAACGATAAAACTAGTACGACAATCATTGAAAGATAGGGCCATCAAAACATGTGGTAGGAGCAAGTACAAACGGTAACAACGAACAATGCTAGACCTTTAAAACGTGGCACTTAATGTTGCAAACAAAGTCATCTAACATACCATACCGAAAAACTTCGAACAAGTAAGTCACCAAATGCGTACCACCTTTATTGCCGGCTGCCAAGTCCTCACGGGGCATCTAACTTTAAGTATCGAAAATCTGACGTCGAAGGTATTTTAAGCTAGAACCAAAGCGCGTGTGCATAAACTCTCACTTCTTAGTTTTTTTTTTCTCGCCTTAATGACTTAAGCTCCATCTCCAATGATTTTGTTTATTTGGTGTGTGCGCTCTTAAGAGATGGTATACACAACATGTTACGAAGTTCTGAAGTAGATTTTTTTTTGTTCGTATGTCTTCGCTTTTGTGGCATTAGGAGAATCCAGGACATACGCAAAATCACGCATTAACGATGAATTTTAGATTATTTAACTGTGGAATCATTTAAAGGTTGCTACTTGAAGCTGGAAAAAGAAAATAATTTTTATTTTGCTCGGCGGTTTCATAATTCAGGCATTAATAGGTTAAGGTTGCTGTGGAAAAGAGCCATTTATCCACCCAGCTAATCAATTCAAATAACTGAATGGTGATGCGTGCACTTCGAGTAAAGTTCTCCATAAGATAAATGAAAAATCCGGACTAAAACATAACATAACGGGTTCAGAACTGTATAATATATACAGGGTGTTTTTTTTTAAGCAATGCAGATTTTTCTTAAAACAAGTATTATAGGTAGGCACTTGTCTTCACAGTCGATTTCCAAGTCGAGGCGGAAACATTTTCCCACTAATTAGATCACTTAGGCATGATTAATTGATTAAAATAATTGAATTAACTTTTTTATTATTAGCTTTTGGGTGGTTATTTATGCGTGAAAGTTGTTCAACGTCGCAAATTACGGCAAGCCTAGTTTTTAAGAATTGAAAATATAACGCGCGGTTCCAGAGATCTATCGTCGAATTTCCAGACCGCGGTGCCGGAGAAACCGAAACTAACGCGCCGAGTGCGTCAGTTTTGACGCACTGGCTTTGCCGCACTTCGCGCGTTAGTTTCGGTTTCTTGGATCTCGATGGATCAGCTTGAGTTTAGTTGCATCATCCACTCGAACGTGGATGATGTTACGTCATTCGTTCACAGAGTGCGATAGTTCCCCAGGGACAAAATCAAATATAAATAGTAGAGGGGCCTAGAAAGCCCTGCTGCAGAGCAAGGGCCCTGCCTCACAGGCTCACAGCAACAAGCCATCCGCCTGGCGAAACAAGCCGCGAAGAGCCAAGACCTGTCTTCTTTAATCGCTGAGGTGCTGACTCCCGTCACTGGGGGGTAGACAGCCTGCTTATCAGGCGGATAAGTTGTTTTTATCACAATCCTTATCCTCTTTTTTTTTTTTTTACAAGTACCCCAGCTCCACGAAATGGTTATGTATTCACCTTCAACGGGATAGCCAAGCAGGAAAGCTAATTTCAGTAGATAAAAGAAGCGACTACATGAAGGCGGTTGGCGCACAGGCGCGCAGAGAGTGGGGGTCGGTACAGTTACGACCGTGCGGGTTGATGATAACTGCGACCAAAGGCCCTTGTTGCACTTCAGGGGCTGTTTTAGCTCCCACCAATTTGTTTCCGGAAAGCCAGGGACCGAAGGCAGACTGTGAGAAGCGCGTGATACTTTTTCATCTTCTCTTTCGGGCACAAGATGTTGGCGGTGCAGTGAGAGTGATCTGCTTATCTGCAAAACGGCGAAGCTGTGAGTTGTACAACAAAACGGAGAACCACTTCACGTGATATCCCTCTCCTGGTTCACTTCCATGACCTACCTCGATTGCTTCACATGTTTTACCAGCGCCTTCACAGAAACAGCGGCGCTGGCTTCACACGTTCTCTCCGATGTTTTAAGCAGCGGAACACCAGAAATTCTCCCTTTCTTTAAGTAACCACGTGAACCAAAACCGTCCTGCATAAGCGACTACGCGACGTCACTGACGTCACACCCATGTAGGTGTCGCGCGTTCGACACTTACCCGGCCTTGCTGCCTGTACGTGGCGCCACGCCTCTTTCTCTCGCTGGCCACGCGCCGGTGCTGGTCTTCATCGTGATCCCGAAATCGGTACACCATGTGGCGATTACCGTACAGATCGGTCGTCAGCCGCGACCTGCACTGTCGCACGTCGCAACGCCAGCGGTAGCGCTGGTCACTGCGCGTGTCCAGCGTAAACGTGCGGCCGGCGTACTTAGCCTTGGGCTTGCCGCGCCGCGACATCACAAACTCGACGGTCGCATCGGCAGCCGCCGCCACTCGGGACCATCCTGCCGCCGACATCCTTCGCATGCGACAACGATCACGCCACTCCGTCTATCAAGCAGCGCGCGCAGCCGCAAACCACACGGCCGCGCCTACGCGACAAGTAGTAGGACTAACGCGAGCTGTAGTACGTCTAATAAATACGCGGTCACCGATGCATTACAGTGACGGGAGCGTTGCAGATAAAGCTCTTGCCTATCGGTGGCGTATCGCGTCGCGATTGTTTTGGTTGCTGTAGTACGTCTAATAACACGCGGTCACCGATGCATTACAGTGACGGGAGCGTTGCAGATAAAGCTCTTGCCTATCGGTGGCGTATCGCGTCGAGATTGTTTCGGTTGCTCAAACGGCATACGTCGCCACGGCAAAGCTGGCATCCGTCCCGACATTCCAAGTACCACTCGGCGAATACCCAGGCGACGTTCGGCGAATGCGACGGTGAAACATCAAACAAAACAATGAAAGTAGCGAGAGAAGTCCGTCGCAAACTCGCCCGTCGAAATACGTCGCAGACGACGTTTAACTGTACAGCCATCTGATGGCGACTGCACCTACCGCGTACAACCTACTTTAAGATCATTTGGAAAGATGGCGCCACATTTGCTTTTGTGCAGCGAGTGTAGCAGACGATATTGCACTTTAGCGCGCAAGCGCTAGCAATTTTGATAGTAGCCTAATAGTTCAATACGGCAGTTAGGTAGGCACAATTCATGATACCCTCGCTTCCCACTTTGCCTAATCTACAGATGAGTGAAAGGATATCGTTGTATAAGCGAGCTGCGCCGTCAGTGAAATTAACATTACTACCCGCAAGACTAACAATAATTGGGCTTAAATTTTTACAAAATAAATATTCATGAAATAAATAAACTAAAAGATTACCATGCATACGCAAAGCCAACTCTTTCACTGCTTTGTCAAAGATTGCTACCTGCTTATAAAATATAAAACGCACCAATATTTGTCTCTCCTAATATGTTTACACATCAACATTTTCTTTAGAGTATATGTAAAATTACGAGAGGGGAGGGGGGCTTGGGTCACATTTCAATTAATGCAACGGTGTTTTGTGTGTATCCCTCAATACACAGCTACAGCTTCCGAAACCGCCCCCCTCCCAGGAAAATGGGAAACCTTTGCGTCTGCAGCACACAGGACAAATAATGCCCAACTTATATATCCGGCATCGTGCACGTAGAAGACCCTTTTTGAGCACCTTAAATGCACTTTATTATGTGCCATGCCTGCAACTTCCATGCAGAAAATTCTGAAGTAAACAACCAAAATTCAAACTTGTACTTGTAAAAATATATAATGGCCAGGCCATTTTATTTGATGGCAAACATTGAAATATGAACAATATATTGGTACATTTGCTTCTCTACAGCAGAGGAAGACCGAGTACAGGAAAGAAAATGTGCGCAATAACACTGTACACATACACAAAAAACAATGCAGGAAGTTTTGAGTACAAAGACATGTACTTCGAAGGTTAATTAATGAACAAACATTTACAGTGGACAAAACAAAAAACATGAATAACATGTTTGGGCAACAGATGCAACATATCGGCTTCTAAAAATTGTTAAAAATACAGAGCAAACAGAGGCCACAGCAACTAGTCCCCTGTAACAGTACTGATTGTTGGCCCAGTTGGTACTTGCTTAATGACATGCTTTGGCCACAAATAACACAAACAAGTAAACAAACACACAAGGACAAGTGTTTGTTCTTGTGTGTTTCTTTAATTGTGTTTGCGTTATTTGCGGCAAACATGTCATTAAACTAGTCCCCTGTTATACTGCCCAACAAGTGCGCCTAGGACCTCTTTTACCTTCGCAGACTAACAGCAAAGGAGTGGTCATGTCCAATGAAGCCATAGCGCTCAGAAAACTGGGACCAAGCAAGAGGACAAGACATGCCCTCCATAACTCAACAGGAATGCTGTTTTCCTATGATGCTGACTCCTACAAATACACTTCACTACAAGTTTGTCTTTGTCCCATAATTAACATCACCAGGAAGCAACAACTCGGAACACAAGCTGGAAGTAAAGAACTCGCCCTGGTCAGCCGTACTCACACAAAACAACCGGGAGCTTACCCGCCAGGCCAACTGACTCAAGGCACTAACTTCAGGTCACGTCGCATTTTCTGCACCTCGAGGAGGAGCATACGTCGCTTTATTACTTCTGTTTTCCTTTGCTCCATAAAGTACTTCTTGTGTTCATTGAGCATGTCAGCCTCGGCTGCTGCTTTGCGCTTCTCCTCAATGTGAAAGGCAGCCATAGCCGCCGCTCGTCGAGTCTCCTCTTCTGATCGTATCCTCTCCTGCACCAGAAACATTGTCTCAGCCATGGCTTTCTTCTTTTCCTCCTCATACTTTTTCAGTGCCTCTGTGAGAAGCAGCGTCTCAGCTAGAGCTTTACGCTGCTCTGCTTCCGCTTTCAACTGCTCAGCCAAGAGTTTCCTTTTCGTTGCTGCCAAGATGTCAAGCTCCAACCTCGTCTTCTTTTCTACCAGGCCTGGCATACCTGTTGTGAAGAAGTACCTCCTTGAAGTCTTCGTACGGACATCCGTGTTTCGCCCAATGTTATTGCTCCGAGATTCAGCGCAAGCATTGTCTTGTGAATTCATGGCGGGGGAAATGTCTGGCTCAGAAAGTATTTGTTCTATCTGCTGCACCTCAGCAGTAGGTTCGGATGCAGGACCAAATGGTTGATCAACAGAGGGTATCGCGTGGACTGTGGGAGCTGTAGGCTGCGGATCTACACTCTCACAATAACTGTTTACAGGTGCCCCGTGCACCTCATCACAATGCGCTTCATCTGTTTCTACTTCCTTCTTCACCAGCACTGTGTCAGCCACCACTGTATTGTCGAGTTCCGCAGATGCTGAAGCTCCAAGAGGCTGCATGATGGCTGTACCTGTGCTACCACAACTGGGCTCCTGCATCGTTGGCACAATGTACTCATCATTGCCGTGCTGAATTAGGCTGCAAAAATAATGGCATCGAAACACATAAATGGACAACATTATCACAACCATACAACAACCTAAATGAACAACTGAAAGATGGAGATAATGAATCCATTTTTTGCTGAGTATTAATTACACTCATTGTGTCACCAGGAATCAACAGTGACTTAGAGGTATTTAGGAACTAGAAGAATGACATCCGAGCATTAAAAAAAGTCTCTTCACCTAAATGTTTGTGCTGGGAGGAGGATTCGTTTGTTTATCCACTATTGACAATTGATTGCACACTTAACTTAAATTTGACACTGAGAAGTTTATGCCCTTTCTTTGGCATCCATACAGTGAGATTCAAACATCTTTGTTGTCCTCTCTGTCTGTTTGATTACCAAAGTTAGTGAATAAACTTTGACAGACCAATTATTCTAGCATAATCATGAAGACTCAAAGTGAATCCTTCCTACAGATTTGTATATACCCATGCAAAATGACAATGTCATTTCAGGTACAATGAACCCAATCAACTACATATTTTGCAGCTAATCAAAAGACACTAAAGCTGCATAGAATTGCTTAAAATATTAATTAAAATTTTTTGTGATGTTTCTGGAGCAAGTATTAGCTATTTGTGTCAAGAGGAAATCTAAACATTACTTGCCTCTGGATAACTTGACTGCTAGACACATAACTTCCAGCATCTGCAAAATAATAATAATAATATTAATAATAATAATAACATAAATAAGTTTGCATTATGTAGTATAGACGCAACACCACGGTAACTGTGAAATTTTCAGAATCCACTGAACCACACTTGAGAAATTGAAATGTGATGACACTGTCAGGATTGGCCAGCATTGATTACGCTGTCCCTTTCACATTACAAATGGCGTAAAAGTCCTTGTACACTAACATATTAGCCTGGCCTACCCACAGAGTGATCCACACCATAGTTTGCGTTCCAGAGTTGGCGTTCCCATTCCCGCCATAGCTACATTCAGTATCTATGTTGCTGTGTGACTATGTGGGCTTTTGAATAGGTGTTGGTCACATTGGTCCCTTGATGTACTAACATGATAAGGCCAATTAAATTGTGCATCTCTGTCAGAGCCCGCTCACCCATGCGAAGGCCAGTGAATGTATTTTATTGCCTTCGCGCGTTTCGTTACAAAATAAACGCGCAAAGTAGATAAAATATTTTGAGCAATTTTAGCAGTGGCTTTTCGCGAACGAACTCCGTGCAGTCGATTCTCGGATGCCGTCTGCATTTCTGAGGCGAAGAGCAAGGTCTATCACAATAAAATGGAAGGCGATCGGTAGGATATACACGTCCAGACTGGCCATCTGACGCAAATGCTCACCTGCCGAATTTTCTGCTCCGGACGAGTTCTCCGAGTCATCACCGCGACCACCAGCAAAGTCTTCGGCTCTCGTTTGTTGCTTGAGCAGAGAATCCATGACGCTGTAGTATTTCCAAGAAGACGTTTGGCCTGGGCGCAAGTTCCGTCGTTCCTGGCAATGAGAACACGATCATAAGCAAGGTGTTTTTTTTTTTTCTTTTTTTGCGAATAACCATTCGACAATGGCAATATCAGTAGTGTGGAAAACGAAGCGCGCAATAGAATTCCATTAACACATACCTAACGCAGGTGGGCGCACCCGCGGGAAGTCAGTCGATCCGACCCGCCCCAACTCGTTCGATTCGACCTGAATGCGTTTACATAAACCGAACAAGCGAACTCCAATGCGACTTTTTAAGTCGACTAAACTCACTTATTTGACGAACGCGCAACAGCTACGTTGTGGTTGTCATCTCATGAAACATGGTCTCACGGTTACGTGGAACCCGTCCGGACGTTAGCGGGAGCTTGTCGCGCCCGAAAACCGAGGTGAATGCGACTTACATGATTATAGCGCGACTTCAAGTTTTTCCAGTGGCATCGGATCTGTTGCCACGACCAGTCGTAGCCCAGCGGCGACAAGAGTTCCTCAATCGCCATAAACGTTTGTTGATTGCGCTGTCGTTTTGAGTTTAACACGTGTACGACGTCAAGTTCTCTGATGAGATTTAGAACTTTTAGCGTAGCTTGATCAGTCCAAAGAAAGCGGCCGCTACGGTCAGTCATGGCGGACGCCATCTTGTTTGTTTTTTGTGGTTTTTGTTTAGTTTCAAAAAACAGCACCACCAGGCGGCGTGGCAGTAGCAAGCGATTATTTCTTCCTCCATGAGAAGGAAAGGTATGTCCATGATATTGACATTGCCTTTATCATGTCCATATCATGAAAAATGTCCATGTCATGGAGGAAAAAAAACTGTTTTTCTTTCCTCCATGATATGGACAGCTTTAAAACAACAGGTAAACGCACTGACGTATTACTGCTTTTGCGCAACATTACGTTACTTTTACGCTCCGTATATTTTTTTACCACGACTTTGACGTGATACGACTTCGGATAGGCAGCCAACTTCCAAGAGTTCTATTATCAAGAACATCGCACTTTACAACAATGACGAGCGGTTGGGTTCACAAGAACAGAAATTGCTTTCGAATGTCGTGCTTTCGCTTTTTTGTTTAATAGCACAATGCTAAATGTGGGGCGGGTTCGCGGAGATAAAAGTATAATGTAGTAGATTAACCAATGCTACCACCGATTGCGTCACACTTCATGGATTCAACGTTATCATTATTGTTATCTGACATTATAATGTATTATTACTTGAACCTTCAGCTTGATTGATTGATATGTGGGGTTTAACGTCCCAAAACCACTATATGATTATGAGAGACGCCGTAGTGGAGGGCTCCGGAAATTTAGACCACCTGGGGTTCTTTAACGTGCACCCAAATCTGAGCACACGGGCCTACAACATTTCCGCCTCCAACGGAAATGCAGCCGCCGCAGCCGGGATTCGAACCCGCGCCCTGCGGGTCAGCAGCCGAGTACCTTAGCCACTAGACCACTGCGGCGGGGCAACGAACCTTCAGCTGCCATACGTGGTAGACACTTCAGAGTGGCTTACACCAAATCATTGAAGAACAATAATGGCTTGAACTGTGAACTTAGGAGATACACCGACGACATTAACTGGCATATTTTATACACGCCAGAACAGTATGAAGGATTGTAGTCCGTGGTTGGAGATGTGGGGTATGGTTTAACATTTGTAGCAGCTGTAAACTGCCATCTATATTGTGCCTAACAAAGAAAATGAACCCTTTCTTGGTATATTTAGTGTCATAATTAAGACAAAAATTCTAGCCAGAAATGCTCCACTGCAGCGTTAGAAGACAGAATAGTGAACACTGGCGCAGTTGCCGCAAGCAGCACTTGAAATGTGCAGAAAAACGCATGATGGACAGCGAAATTAAACATGGTGCAGTTGGACAAACACTGCACACGAGAAAGTCAAACTTTCACCCTCCATACCCCTTAAACATTTCTGGCTGTCCCCCTTTTTTTTAAATATATCGATGTGCGCATGTGCGCATATTACACACAAAGAATGACATATTCACAGTGGATGTGGGGACGTATATTTCACTCTCCGACCAGAAACTTTTGAATATGCCCACGACACCAGCCGATCATGTGAAGACTCGCAAGTAATCGCGTTTGACCACGAAGACAAAAAAAAAAAAAATAAATGACGCACAGTGAAATCAGCCACTACAGTATGTATTATCATAAAAATTCACAAGAAAAATGTATGCGCACAATTCCGCCGCAAACAGCTAAAGTCCAAGCCATATGGACTGGAGCGTACTCGTTAGAAGGGCACCTCCACTTCCTTGTTCAACGACGCGCGCGTTAACTATCTTCCGACACGCACAAGATCAAAAGGGTCATTCAGCCAATTTCATCACACAGTCAGTGAACGTCAGTGCCCTGATCGCGCTTGATCTTCCTGATCTCGAGCTGCAAAAGGCGTCTCTTGAGGGCCTCCATCTTGTGCTGCTCGACGAACAACTTCTTGTGCTCCTGGAGCATTTCCGTTTTGGCAATCGCCTGGCGATGCTCCTCCACATGGAAGTCGGCAATAGCGGCAATCTTGAATTTCTCCTCCACGTGCATACTGGCCAGGGCCTTAGACCGCTTTGTTTCCTGTCGGTAGAACTCGGCCTCGGCGTCAGCCCGCCGTTCCTCAGCCTCTGGTTTGCGCTTGGAGGCCAAGAAGACCTCAAAGTCGAACTTCGTCTTGACGTCGTCCAGTGACGCGGCGCCGTCAGCCGGGAAACTCTCGCTACTTGTCTTTCCTGAGGCCGTCGAGTCAGTCTTGCCGTCCAACGGCTGTCCCGGTGGTCGGTATTCGTGCCGCTCCCAGAAGAACGACGGTGAACTCTCTTCAGCGGCGGCAGTGGGTAGCGCGTCATTTGCGTCGACCTCGCTCATCACGTCGTCAAATTCTTCGACGACGACGTCGTCAACGTCGACAACTCCACCTTGACCGCTACCCCGATGTGCGGCTCTGTAGACAGTGAGCGAACATCGCTCAGGACTATCATAGAGGCTCCACAGGAGACCGTGGCAGCGGGCGTTTGCACCACCGCCGCGCTGGCCGATATCGACAACTGCGATGTGGGCACGATGTGTCCGTCCTGGCTTTTGACGTACCCGCTGCAAAAAAAAAAAAAAAAACGGCACGCGAAGTAAGGTCTAGAAAAAAAGGCCGGCACACCCTAAAATTGGCAACATTTCCAAAAATTAACATTTCTACTCCTTAAAGCGAAATATGAGCAGCTGTATGGTATCAGTATAGCACGTATCGATAAGTCCTTACTGCAGGATCACATGCGTCGTTTGCGCACAGAAGAAGACTAAACAGCTAAAATTGGTCAGTGTTCTGACCTAAGAGTGTTTAGTAAGCTTTTGCTGAAGTACTAGTCAGAAGCGCCGCATGTCTCCATGCGCGCACGTCCTGAACGACGGACAGCTATATCCCGAGAATTAAGGGTGTGAACCGTTGGTTTCATTCCACCCGATGCTCAGTGATCCATTTTAGCTCTGTAGAATGAGGGCATAAAGGCTTTCTTTTTTTTTTTTACATAAGTTGTACTTTGGCCACTGGCGAAGTGACCGTGGGCTGAAGACATTTTTCATCATTGTCTGGTGGATAGCTAATTAATGACGGCAAGAAGATGGCTGATTCTATGCCAGGTATTTCCGAGAGGTGCTCACCTCTGCACACGATCTGAAAAGGGCCCGGCGCTGCTTCTGGCTCCCGCTTGGCTTGTTACGCCATCTGCAAGAAGGATGACACAGCGGTTCATCATAAAGATACAGGACGTCACGCCACGAAAATACAGCAGCGGTGCCGTCAAATTTGATGTGTGGGAACCACTGGCGTAGCTGAGAGAGGGGGTCCACAACTCTCCTCAAACTTCTTCTTTTTTTCAATTTTGCTTGTCTGTCTATACACGCACGCATACAAACACATATACAAACATACATACGGTCAAACCACCCACATCCCCCCTCCCTCACCCCACCCCCAAAAAAATTCTGGCTACGCCTGAGGTGTGTGTGTTGTGGAGGGCTGTGTGTAATATTATCATGCGTACAATATTCACAGCAGCTCAGCATGACGTCAAATGTGGCACTCTACCTCCTGGCGTCGAATTACTTAGAAGACAATACATTTGCCAAGGAATCGCTCAAATGCACGAACACTTCTGATGCGTTTCTGAAACACTTCTAAAGAAGGTGTACTTGTGGTCGTCTCCTTGACTTTCGTACGTAACTGCTTCTTTGCACACATCCGTTGTCACGTCTTACCAATTATTCAATCATGAATCGTGCTTTAGTATACCAAACAGATGCAACTGAATGTATATTTTCGCAGAAATAACATGCAAGGCACCGCATCAACACCATGTTTGAGGCTTGCGAAACACTGAACGGAATGCGTTCCGTATTTCCTAAAGTCTTTCTATATATAACTTCGGAGCAATAATTCAACTGTTTTATATAGCTTTGTTCGGCACGGAATTTCTGCATAGGCTACGACATCTTCAAGCTTTGCCGTTTCAAGTGTGACGGCTGTGTTAAGCTGATTTCGTGGTTCCCCACCCTGGAGGATCGCTCAGTGGAATCGTCCGCAAGCCGCAAAGACGTACCGAACCGTGGACGGGTTTTCAAGGCACCGTCACGTCGGAGGGGAGTAGGGCTCAAAAAAAAAAAAAAAGGAAATCAGAGGAAAGAATCGACGGCGGCTTGCTTGGATCTCACGGGAGCGGTGCACCCTCTTCGATGCCCGAGGATCCGAAGGCCACGCTTGCCTTTGATTGTGTTCAATTGTGAATGGAGGGGAAGTACACTCCTGCAACGCCTGTGTGCACCAGCCACGGCACCAGCAAGAAACAAAGATTTCTGCAAGTACGCACATTATCATTGAAGCCATAAAAGACATTTGTTGAGACCACACGCATATGTACAGATCTCGCATGCAAGAATGCTGTTTTTTGGGGGCCACGGATAACCCACTGGCCCGGTATAACGGTACCGTTATCCATGTGGTCAGCAAGTCGCTATTTCAATCTCCAACACCTGTATGAACTTTTAAAAGTTTTTTTAAGGCTTCGTGCGCACTACGACAGCGGTAAACCGGCACTGCTAAAACACTCTTTTTATGTGTTCGCGTTCGTGTATGAACTGGCGGGAACACAAGACAAGAAACAGCAAAGATTACACTTTCCGTTGGCAGCGCGGCAACACGGAAGGACAGCGTGGTTCTGCCGCTCCGGGTAGCTGGCGTCGCCGCAGTTCAGACTACAAAAGCGGGCCGATGCCGAGCGTCCTTGGGCGCCCATCGAACGACCTCGAAGGTGGAGCAGTTTCCGCGGCTTCGGCCTTGGGACGCTCTCCCCGTTGCGAGACAGCAACACGCCGTCAACAAATTCGGTGCTCCGGAAACGGGACAACACAGTGCTCCAGTTTCAAACCCCGTGTTAACCCGTTTCGTCCCGCGAAAACTTCAGCTTACGAACGGTTAGTGGACGGGGTATGTGTAACTCACACATTCAGCGACACACTCAGACACGGGGACAGAGTATTCCTGCATACATCGCGAGGTGCGTGCTAAATATGACATCCACCCACGCGGAAACTGGGTCGAGCACGAGGCGAAAAGGGTTTACAGCTT